TGAAACTTTGTCTACTTACCTACTTCTCATTGCATTGTTAAAGATCTTGTAAATTTCAAACGAATTAGATAAAAAATGCAAATTTTATTAAAGATTCTTTGGGTAGGTAAACCTTTTCCGGACATCCTGTATCTGAATTCTATAATCTATTGTAACTTCCTGTGCCTATACCAACCCCATACCCAGGTAAACGACCACAAGAGCACGTTTACCTACTAGTCGTAAAATATTGCGTCAAATGATTTCCTTCTCATGAGTCATGACCAGACACCACGTAAGTCGCAACAATGCCACGCTTCCACACATTGATATACACGCCGACAGCTGTTGGACCGTTTGTGCGAAAAGCCCGCCATTCGGGTCCTCCGTTCGCTGTCAGCCTCACCGCACAGGGCAGAGAAGGGGTCCTCGGGTGGACACGATGGATCACACTACACCGCCGCAGACACCGGCCGACGGGGTCGATGTCGGTACCGACGGGGTAGCGTCGGGCGCGTCGGGAGCTGCGTCGGGCGCGACGTTGCACCTCAGAGTGTCGGCGGTGGTCGAGGGGTGAGGCGGTGTGCCGACGGGGGTCTGTGTCGGAGGTGACACAAGCAGCCAACTCAGCAGTGCGACTGTGGCTGTCAGCAGGTGAGTGTAATGAGGGAAGGCGATGAGTGCAGTGATGCGTTGCAGGACACGTTGTAATGTAGTGACACGTGGTTAGACAGTCGCAATAACTAATAAGTACCACCTTCAAAGGCTAATGGATGCATTGTAACAATATGTTTACCGTGACATGATCATAATATATTCACTCGAAAGAATAGGATGCAACGTTTATATAAGTATAGGCATCGTATTGTTTTGTGGTAAGTCGGTAATAGTGTACAATGTACAAGTTGTGCAGTGGTAGTCTGATAAGTATGATATTTTATTTTGCGGTTACTTTACTTACATTTGAGAATGCCACCACCACTACGATTCACAATTGGTCGTTTTATGTTGAAATACCTTATACTAGCGTAAGATTGTTTTAGCAACGGCATGGTGCAGTACCTATGTTTGAGTGTGTTGGATTCATCGGGAAGAGATCAGACTTTGAAACACATTCAACAATATTCAGCAATGAGTCTAAAAGAAAGGACGCCTGCATATGAACCGGCCCATCGGATTATACGGTCATCATGGTAAATAAGCGGCAAAAAATATTATTCATTGTGAGAGGCAACGAACGAGCTCATAAAGTACGAGGGTCATACAAGGCTTGATCAATCATCAAATCATTTGGATATTTTACCAAACCAGTTTGTTTTTAGTATACCTCGTTTAGTTACGGAAGTGATCTAGCTATTCAATCATACAGTCGTTTACTGATCTACTAGGATACGACTAATAACGTAACGTTACGAGTTACGACTGAATTGAATACGACTAGACGTTACGACTGAATGTATCTTAAATCTTTGTTGGATATAAGTAAACATGATCTTTGTTGGATATAAGTAAACATGACTGATGAAATCAGCACAGGTTCGAAAATGTCTGTTGTCAGAATTACTTCCTGAGAAGATATTCATTAAAAAATTAGTCCGGAACGGCCCCCGGCCCGACACAAAATTATCATAGGTACCAAGCGGTCCGCGTCCGTGGCAGTCTGACTCAAAGTTACCTCCAATTACACAAGATAGGAGAGCCAATTAAATGCGCATTACAGACGGACTTAATGGGACTATCCCACCTTTAACATGGGGTTTGAGTTGAGATAGCCAAGTTTGCGGCGAGGTTCAGAAACCACTATCTATCTAGGTTGCAACCCCTGCGGCCTCTTGGTGTTGAAGAAATTCGTTCCCTTCATTTGAAAATGGGCCTTGTGCAAGGCCCTATCTTCAACATGGAGCGACCGTTAGTGTGACGTCACCTCGTTTAGTCATTCTGATTTAAATGGGTTTGTTCGTTGAAAAATCGCTTAAAACTTGGTCTGAACTTTGTTGTGGTGCCTACAGAGTAAAAAGAATCAGCTTTATGACAGTAATGTGGCCTGGGGAAGGAGGTAATTTTGGGCTGTGACGTCACATATTTGAAAGTTTGTGTTTGGAATATGGGAAGCCTAAGATGTTTAATGAAAAATAAATGCCAGAACCGTGTTCCGCGTCATCCAATCTATAAAGTCGGGCACAATTTAACTGGTTTTAACAACACTTTAGAAGGTGGGATAGTCCCTTTAATGCCTACGTTCAAAAACAAAATAGTTTTGTATTGCGCTCTCAATGTTCATCATTTGGCCTGTTCAATGTTTATTTATCACAAGGCTTTAGTTTCCCGGCTTTCAGTGCCGTTAGTTGTAAAGAAAAACTATTTTGAAACATGCACCTATAAGTGGTTTATAAAGCCATCCTTTTATGAAAAGTTGATAGAAAAGAAATGGCACACAGGTATCCAACGACACAACCCGACTCGCGATAGGGTACAAGCATTGTTAGGAAAATGCGGCTTAACGGTACGACAAATATCTATAATAAATAACGAGAAAGATGTTTAATAAATTTCTGGCAAAACTGGTTTAGAAAATTATTTTTAGCGCTCAATTGTCCATTGTGATTTAAAATGTAGGAGCTAATTATTTTTCGCTGACAGACAAGCTCAACAATATAATATAACTATGATACAATTTTAAAGTCTAATGCAAACATGCAACTCAACATAAACTCAACAGACAAGCGTGTCTACACAGTGTATCTTGTTCAGTTAGATGAAAACACCTTAATTCAGTCTAGAGCGAATTACCATTTGGAGTATACTCCAAATGGTATATCATTCGTAAATGGTATATCGTTAATGGTATATCGTAGAGGCTGCTCAAACATAGCTGCATGCGGATCATATGCAAAAGCGCTCCCGCAGCCAAGCAACTAAGAACTTGGCAAGGGAGAAAACAGCTTACCACTGTAGCATGCGATGCTGCACAAAAGCAGAGAGCGAGAACTTCCTGCTATAGCAGAGGCTGCGCGGCAAAAAGGATCCAATGTCTGGCTGAGCTGTGGCTGGCAGAAATGCACCGGAGATATTCAAATAGAGCTTTCATTTTGAATAGCGTGGCGTGGGCTCAACAGTCAAAAGACCCACCCGCAGACCGGCAAATGGTGCATTCATCTACATACATGCAGCATCGGGCTTTTACACGCGCGAATAAAAACACACCAACGAGCATCCCAACACGGACGGAAGAAAATTCAACGAGAATTGTCTGCCATTGAGATGCGACCGTTTTGGGAATGGCTTCGAGAACGGTTGATTGTTGCGTTCGGTTGATGCTCATCCCCGCATCGGATATAAATGAAAGTTGGAACAACGAAGACGATGCCACATTTTTCTTATTAGTTATTACATTACAATATTTTGATTTCAATTTATGCCTTTTTTAATCAATCAAAAATTGTATCATAATACATAGTATTATAGATGAGACGTCAAAACGTCCGGTGCGAACGACTTTAGCGAGTGTCATTTGAGCGAACGTCATTTGATTGAACCATTTTTAGCGATTGGCAACCTAGCGATTATCAATTTAAGCGATTATCAAATATAGTGATTATCAATTTTAGCGAAAGCTATGTTTCAGCGTCATCTAGTTCGTCGACTTCTATTTGAGCGAATGTTATGTTCAGCGAAACACTTAATCCTCTCGTAATGGTGCATTTCTAACTTTTGCGAGCGCACAAATGTTTCCGAAATTTCTCATGGCTCATGGTTATCCGGAACTGGATGGCGGATCTCAGGTTCAAAGGTACTAAATACGTGTACATTGAGCTCCAATTTCACGCTACATTTCTTAAAACTGTTGGCGGTTCAGTTTCACCCCTGTTCTTTGCCAATGGTAATAACTTCAAACTTTGTTCAGATATTGATATTTGCTCTTGCTGGTTTTCGTGAAATTCTCCAGCATGAATTTTCAGTTCCCCACGTAAAATTTGTTCTTGCCAAAGTGTCAAAGGATCGATTTCTGTCGAGTTCGGTTTCGCTGTAATTGTATTCGCTCAATTGGTTTCCCATTGTCAGCAATATATTCGCTCAATCTGGTTTCGCTGATTCTGGTCCTCGCTTTAGTTGATACTCGCGGTAATTGAATTCGTCGACTTCACCGTTGCTGAAAAAGTCAATCGTTTAAATTGATAATAGCTGAAAAAGATTCGCTCCAATGTCGCTCTCTGAAATGAGGCTCGCTCAAGTGTCGCAGAACCCAAAACGTCGATGTGTCTTGTATTTCCAGCCAAAAACAAACGTCTAACCGCCGTCACATCCTACGGCTAATTTTTGCAGTCATCCGAACGGACATTGTTCATTAGAATACCACGATTTCAAGCCGACTCATTGAGTTATGACTGGTCTCTAAATAGCTCCACATGAGCTTTCTCGCTCACTGAGTTCATCCGTTTCGTGATTCGGTCACTGCTGCCGACCGCAAACCATTCCCGTATTCTGAAGCAATTTTCGAGCGCTGAAGCGTCTCGGTGGGTCCCTCACCAGCAGGAAAGGTCCAGTGAGCTGGCACTCAGAAAACTAAGCCACGCTGGGCGAGCGATGAAAAATAGAGTCATAAAGTAAAACGACCCGGTAGATAGAAGGAAAACTGACTAGACTGTTGTAGACATGTGAAAGAGGTTATAGCCATCAGCTGGCAATGGCGAATGGCGCCGTGTATTTTTGCTTGACGAGCGACATCTTCAGCCATCGTTCTCACCAGTGTGATTTACATGAATTTATCGTCCACAGGTCTGGGTTCACGGATTACATCCTGGAGTCGCCTCCCACGAGCTCCTCTGGCCAGTAGACATCTTCAGATCCACAACTGATCGGCTACCCGACACAAAGAAGGACAATTGACGCTCCATCTGAAGCTCAGGTCGCCAGCGTGACCTGACCCGGTTGTGACCTGACGCCAGCCTGAACTGTTGAAACCCCATTCCTGCGTGCCAGCACCCTCGCAAGAAACGGCCCGGTCCTATATATAGCCAACAATGCTCAACACGTGCTGCTGCGGCCTGTTCTCAGTTCGTTCGGCAAGCTACTGCGTCGCTTTCTACACATGCGTAAGTAAATACTTTTTTATAGTAAGATAATACATTTGTAGTTTTTATTATCAGCAATGAAATTTCATATAATTTTATCCGGGTGCCTGGAATCCTGCTAGTCATATTGAGCAGGTATATGTAATTACATTCCTCTTCGCCAATCCCGATATTCATTCGCAGTCGACTTTCCGCTAACAAATCCCAATGGTTTGACGTGTGTCTCTGTGCCTCAGATATATTTCCTGGTGATGCTGACTATCAGCGTGCTGGGCCTCATTACTGTGGAACACGAGATGATCGCCCGTCCGGACCTGCCCCCAGTTGACACCATGACCATTGGTAAGAACGCACGGACTTGGCTCGAACTTCGACGATAGTTCGACGACAGTTACGTGAAACATGTGATAAATGCGCGCGTATGGCTCTATGGACCATGATTAATATACGCCCTGTCACTGTTCCAGTGGGATTGTCCCCAGACATAAGGTCCGATGTAAAATGGAATGTCGCTATTCTCAGCCTGCTCAACGGCAAACTAAACGTAATGTCTATGATGCATGCAAGCACAATAGTGACACAATTTAAAGGTATTCAAGTTTTATTTATTTCCATCATTCCTCAATAGTTTAAAAAAAGAATATAATGCTGTCCTGTTTTGTTGAGTAAAAGAGCACCTGCAGCTACAGCGTGCCGTTTCGGCAGCGCTGGAGAGCCTGAGATGCCCGGTTGCTTTAGCCGTTCCTGTTCCCGACATTTGAGTCGTTCCAGAATCCATTGTTGGCTAGCCACTATGGCCAGACGTGTATAAAACCGCCCGTTCCTCCGCCGCCGCCAACCATTCATCACACCACTATGCATAAAAATGGTACAATTTCGAAATCTGAATTTAATCTGTGAAAACGCAACTTCAAGCATTTCAACAGTCACGACCCCAGCAAAAACACGGTAGCCTTTTTTACGGAGCAGCGACCGGGTCCAAGATGTTCGCATTCTGAAGCCTTTGTTGAGTATAAATTCATGAAACTCGGTCCGTGCTGACGTAAAACTCACGGTTGCTTGTCGTCCGTTGGCAGGTTTGCTGGCGATGATGGCCACCCTCTTCACTCTGGGTATCATCTCTGCCGGCATGCTCCTCATGGGACTTTGTAAGGTGAGATTAAATCAATGTTGCATGTGCAAATGCATAAGTTGGACATGAGATTGCATGCAAGCGCCCAAACAAAATACATTTAATGTTACGATTGAGCTCTAAAATATTTTGCCTAAAACTATTTCGGTTTCTATGTTTGTTTTTCTATTACCACATGCCGAGATATCCCTTTAACATTAGCACGTGCATTTGGGAAATGGCTTCGGCCCGCCTCGGCTAATGTTGAAGGTATTTGGGAAACGATTCGGCCCTAGGACTTTTTGATTTTCCCAGACAAAATTTTACTGAATATTCTGAGCGGAAGAACCAATTTCAAAGAAGATATTTACGGATTGTGTGTTCACTAACAGCAACAGCAAAAGTAAGTGACTGCGTGTTTACTTACTTTTGCTGTCAACGTAATTCAACTAAACAAGGTTATCGTTCCAATGCCAATGTATTTATTGCTGCAGAACATGGTCGGAATAATCATTATTTCTACATAATGCACGCAAAAAACGAACAATTTAAATGCGTGAAGCATCTTAACGTGCCACAAAGAAACATTTGATATTGTTCCAGCTGGGATCCAAGACGCGTTTGATTCAGTGTTTTACCCAATTTTCAGTTTTCCTCACGGTTTCCTCACTCCTGCTGGACTCGATATTTTTATTCTAACTTCTGGCGCTTCACCATCTTCATCCTCAGCTTTTTCAAACCCTAAATAAGGGGGAAGTAGGAATTTCATCTTTCATGCTCATTGCTCAACGCAGCCCAATAATGAAAAACACAAAAAATAATCACGGTGACTATAAATATGAACATAGTACTAATATAATATTAACACAATATTAAGATTAAAGTGTAAAATATCAAATGAATATGATATTAACTGTTGCGCCGGTACGGCATGTGGTAAATCTCTTCCCATTTCCCAACCTTGGGCTGTGAAAATGCAGTTTTATTCGGCCCCCGGTCAACAGACATGGTAGCCCAAATCTAGTCGGATATGAAAATTCTTCTAAATCCATAGACTTTAATGTTAAATTGACTATATTTGAGAGGATTTTATGAAGATACATGACCAGATACAGAAAAAAGCGAGATGCTATCTTGTAGATTAAATCATCTACTATCTGCGACTTTTGAAGTGTTTTTCAATCTGAGGTACGGAAATCGTGTTCCCAAGAGACTGAATGTAGCCATGCTTTACATTAGACCCAATGGCAAAAATTCGGAATCTGACGAAATTTGCCATTTTTACGTCTGATTCATGAAAATTCTAGACAGGATATATAAAAACCCGAGATGCTATCAGGTAGGAAATTTCATTGTCTATTACCGCTTTTTGAAGTGTTTTTCGATCTGAGACCGGCAAATCGTGTTCCCAAGAGACTGAAAGTAACCCTGTTCTACAGCAAGACAATGGCAGCATTCTAATATTTTATGGAAGATATTTTAGGTGATAATAACCTTACTACTAATTGCAATGCTTCATTGAAAAGCTTAACACTGGCACTATCATCGGTCTTCGCATTCCTATTTCACAGAACAACAAGAAATAACGTTTTGAAGCCTTTGAATATTGACTTACTTTTCATCGACGGGCTCGATCCTCATCACCACCAACAATTTTCCGGGAAGTAAGGATTTTGCAGATATTTAAGCAGAATTGCAGAGCTGTGTTAATACTACGGCACTTAAATACACATTTTAAGAAAACCGCTTTTTTCTTAGCATGAGGTAGGTCTCAGAAACAGCAACATGTCGATATATTGAGGAAAAATAAGTGCAAATGATCGCGCAAGAGAGTATCCTTAGCTCCCTAGCAACCACCTAGCAACGTAAGGCAAAATAGTAAACAACTCCTGTTGATATCAGGTACTCAGCATTGGAAGCACACTAGACGGTCACCATACTGGGCTTCATACTGAATTTTGCATACCAGAATGGATGTTTCGAACTAGAATTATTTTTTCGCGAAATTTATCTTTGTTGCCCTACTATTTTTTGTAAAACCGAGATATACAAACTTCATGATATCAAAAATAATATTTTGAAAATGAAAACCGCTATATAAAACAAGATAATTGTTGAGATCATGCCTACTAAACTTGGTCCTACCCCCTAATTCAATATACCCTGGTTTTATTCACCTCGGTTTTTTGCTACGGACCTCGTGCCTACCGGCACTCGGTCCTCCGCACAAAAACCTCGGTGAATAAAACGCATTTTCCCAGCCCCGGTCGGGAATATATAATCTTGTTAATTTGGTTACTCTTCGAATAGTATTTCTTCTTCACTTAACAAAAAGTTTTATATGCGTGTGTCCAGTTCTTGTAGTAACGTCTTTTTCATAAAACTTCTTTCGGTTCGAAAATACTGTTCGGAGACTACTGAGGACGACTTTAGCATTCTCGATGTCTGATCTTGGCCTGGGTTTATTATCAGCTGGACATCACACACAGCATCCAGCTGCTGCAGCCTACAACCGTACGTTCCATTGCTCGACCGTGCAGGGTCCTAATGGAACTCCGGCTTTGATCTCATAATCTGCCATTAGCCAAGCAGACGGGGGCGTCGCAGGGCATTTCAAAGGGGATGGAGTGACGTAGAAGGGCGCCCAAATGCTGACGCGTACCGAGATATTTTCGCATTTTCTTTTAAAAGATATATTTTCATTGATGTCAGTAACCATCTGTAAGAATACTGTTGTAAGGTTTCTGATAAACCTTTTCATGCGGTTGAGTAGAATGTTTTATCGGAAGATGCAGATTAGATCGCAAATTGCTATCAATTCAACTGTCCAGTGTGATTCCACGAACTTCCATGAACACGCTTCAAGGAACAAGTTCCAGCTTAACGGGGCACTTAAACTAATTGGCTGAATACCACTTCACGTCTGCACTTCCCTGAGTATACTCGAAAAGCCCAGCGAGTAACTAGACATCGACTCGTCATCTCACTCTTTCCTCTCTCCCTCTTTTGCTCTATTCTGCTCCTATCTCCCTTTTTCTATTTTCTGTCACTTTCGGTCTCTCTCTCTCTCTCTCTCTCTCTCTCTCTCTCTCTCTCTCTCTCTCTCTCTCTCTCTCTCTCTCTCTCTCTCTCTCTCTCTCTCTCTCTCTCTCTCTCTCTCTCTCTCTCTCTCTCTCTCCTTCTCTCTCTCTCTCTCTCTCTCTCTCTCTCTCTCTCTCTCTCTCTCTCACTCTCTCTCTCTCCCTCCCTCCTTTCTCTCTCTCTCTCTCTCTCTCTCTCTCTCTCTCTCTCTCTCTCTCTCTCTCTCTCTCTCTCTCTCTCTCTCTCTCTCTCTCTCTCTCCCCCCTCTGACCGCCTCCTCTGTGGTGTCTCCCCCAGGGACGCGCGTGGCTGCTGGTCCCCATCATCTGCACCCTGACGGCCACCATCGTCGCCGACCTTGTCGCCGTCATCAGCATCTCCGTCCAGGACTTGGTAATTTCTACTTCAGTGTCACTTTTTTAAAGGTTTTTACACACACGAAATGTTCGGTAATGTATCGTAATGATCTGTAATGATTAGTTATGTATGAATGATTTATCTTTCATGTTCATTGTTCAGGTGTAGCCAAATAAGTTATCCTATGGACACGTTTCGTCTCGTGATATATTTTCGTACTTGTGGATATGTTTTACAATTATGTTTCTTACTTTGTAACAACCCATAAATATCTGACAGCAGTACACTGTACAATGCATCATTAATGTGTCGTTTAATTTTTGAAATTTTGCATCTGTACCCGCTAAGAGGGTCGGTTTCGGTCAACAAATGCTCACATAAGCCGACAAAGAATGGATACTGTCGAGTGTCGATACTGGATTCGGGCTGTAAACCAATGAACGGCAGATTAACCCTCGCCCCGTTGGGGGGGCCATTTTGGCCCCCCTGTGGTTTTTCCTGAATAGCAAGAAAAGGCGGCGCGCAGCGCCGCCAAATTTTCAGTACCTTCCCGGGCACCAATTTGACACCTTCACACAAAATTTCAAGTCTTAGGTCACCTTAGGTCAGGAGTTATTTAGGTCAAACTGAGGTCATGTTCGAGCAAAAATGAGCAAAAAACATGCAATCTTGAAACGCTCACCAAATCTACAGTTATCAAGCAATTTCAAAGTTCTTTATATGGTCTAGTAGACAAAAAGCGGCGCTACAAAACTGTTATCTCGGATTTTCAAAATTTTTGGTTTTTGACCCAAAAAAATCAAAAAATTGGTTTTTTTTTTTGAAAAACTAAGAAAAAATCCAAAATTTTCCCGAATTTCGAAAAAAAAAACGGAATATATGTGATAGTCCCTGCGCTCTTCTAATACATACCAAATTTCAGATCGATATCTCGTTTTTTGGCCAAGTTATAGCGAAAAAACTGTTCAAAAATGATGACGTCAAATTTTTGAACTCAATTTTTAGCGATTCTAGACCACGTACGGCAAACAAAGACCACCATTGAACTCCCAGTGACGAGCTGCATCGATTCGATACTGATGCAAAAATATCAACTTTGAAATTTGACCTGATTTGACCTGACCTTGACCTGACCTTGACCTGACCTTGACCAAAATGTGACCTAAGCTGGCCCCAAAGGCTGCCTGACCCACATAATCGCATTTGTCATGTAAAATGGACCATAAAACATGTATCACACGACACTTTCATATTGTGACCCCCCCGTGACCTGACCTCTGTGACCTAACCTGGTATCAGTGACCTCAAATAGCAAACTATGTGTTTGAAGAACATTTCCCCATCGATGATTTTCAGTGAAATGCATTTGACTCGATTTTACAACGCATTTCTTGAAATGCCTGTAAACGGTGAAAATTGGACCTTTGACCTGACCTGTGACGTCATCGGTTTGACCTAGGTCAATAAAATTGGGTCACAAGGTAGTTCCCCGTTGGGGCTATCCAACGCCGTTTACCGCTTGTCGCTATGTTGCGTGGTTCTCGAGATCTAAGGGGGGCCAAAATGCCCCCCCCCAACCGGGCGCGTTGCTCGGCAGAGCCCAACGGGCCGCGGGCTAAAACTGTTCTGCTCTCCAGCTCACCCGTCATCTGGTGGACGGGACCGCGGCCACACTTCTACTGCTCGATCTCATGACAATGGCAATCAACGTGAGTAGCGACGATAGGTGTTCGCTAGTTGCGCGCCTGGGTGCAAAAGATGACGGCTGTGCGTAAATGATCACGTCTGGGCGTAAAGATTGCGTCTGAGCGTAAATGATCACATTATTGTGTAAAAGACCCACGTCAGTTTATAAATGATCACGCATGAGCGGAAGATAGCCTTACGGCAATTTATGATCCTGCGCATGTCCCCATTTTGCAGTGAACTGAACACGCACTTGTTCGTGAAGTTGGTTAAAGTGGCGACACGCATTTTCAGCGATGACCTCGATTTCATAACAAAAGTCGTCGCTAATCATCAAACGAACATCATTTGCAGGGTTTGCCGTCCCCGTCCGTAAACCGTTCTTTATTTGATTGGGATCATGAGTGTGGCAATGTGATAACACTTCTCAAACAAAGTGATGTAGCCTGTATCGCCAAACCAAACCATAACGTTACATACCTCTCGACGTTTTCAACCCGTACACTTTTACGCCTCTGAACGTTTCTCTTCTCTCACTATACAACTACGTTTGTCGTCGTTTTACCACGACTCCGGTGTTTTTATGCGCACTTACACCGTACATTACCCCGCTGTTTTCAGCTGTGGTGCATAGTGTGCGTGGTGTCTCAGTACAGAATCTACCGGGGCTCCAACGGACAGCTTACTGAGCTTGGCTCCAGCCTCCGGGTAAGACGCTCCTACACAGGGTGAATTCATAATTACTGTATCATTAACCCTCTAATGCCCACACATAGTTCCACGGTTCCTAAAATTAGCACCTTGTGTGATTCATTTTGGGTCCCTTGTTCGAAATCTGGAGTCAAATATTTTTTCGCAGTTCAAATTTCGGAAATAAATTTTGTATCAAATATGATACATTGGGCATTCCACTTGGTAATTTTTAGTGGTATCAGACCACACAGAAGGAAGTGAAGACATAGGTGAGAAAATATATATTATTAAAAATTGCAGTGATAAAAGTGGCAGTTAAAATGTGTAAAATGCCAACAACACATCCTTTACTGTGCACTTTTTATCAGAACATTTTCTTAATATTTCATCGGCATCCTTCTTGTATCAAAATGTCCTTTCAGTCGGTGCTTAGGGAACAACGCTAATCATAGACATCTATTTACGAGTGCCTTCTATTCCTTCAATTTCCACGATACAGCGCGTTGCACTTGTGCAATTTTTTCATAATTCAGACATGTGGGCCGTGCTTCTCAAACGTAGATGCGTTATGCATACTTGATATAGAAATGAAGACATTACAGTTGGCTCGCGGTAAGTGGTTGAAGTGAAGCAGTTCTGATGCAAAATGCTGGACAGCCTGCCGACGGACCGGAATCAATGCCAAAGACGATGTTGGTTTATCTTCATGATAGCCGGACAATCTCGGGTGACTGAAACTCTCAGCCTGTGAATCGTCAGTTAGTACTTTGACCATGGTCGTGCGGTCCTGATGTCATCGGCGCCAGTATAACAGCCGCGCACTGACCAGTGCAAGAACCGTTGTACGTGTCAGACAACAAAGGTATGTACAGTCTGTCTTAAAAGTACCGCGCAAAGTGACGGTGGATCCATCAAGCCTGACCGAGGAAGGGCCTGCTATTATTTGAAAGTCACCGAACCAATGGAGCTGGGGAATGGACGAGGATGTCTATTGCTTCGGTGACTCAAATTTGGCAGTCCTTCATCGGTCAGGCTTGATGGATCCACCGTCACTTTGCGCGGTACTTTTAAGACAGACTGTACAGGTAACTGTGCACGGATCGGCAGGAGCTTGCACAATATTCATTGACCTCATATGGAGGTGAGCATACGCATTACGCAATGCCGCACTTTAACTTTTATTCTTGTGGTCAGTACAAAAGTAGTATCCATGTTTTAGTACCTATAAATCCTTTTTGTTCAGTGGCACTCAGCTACCACAGTTGGCGGTATATGTCAATATATGACAACAAATGACATACCTGGCAGTGAAAATGCTTGCCAGGTGTCAGGCACCTGCTGGAACCTGGCAGCAGTGCATGGTTGCCTACTTCTTAGATAGGAAATCAAAGGAATCACGGCCTTCGGTCCGGAGTCTGTCTTCATGGCGAGCCCGTTTAGCCAGCTTCCTCTGAAGATGACGATATAGTTTTCCACTCCACATTCAATCTCTTACTACTGGGATGAACGGAAGAGATTTGAATCGTAAACAAATTGTGAGTCGTTCTCCAATATGAATGAAAAATGCTGGCTGGCTGCTAATGCAAGTCTTCAGCCATGCCCAGCTAACACATAGACCCACAAGACATAAATAAGCCCGTCCACAACCCCTGTTGGAATATCGAAATTGTGCAAAAGACCGCTGAATCCTCCTGTCCCTAACATCAAGTCTCAATTTTTGGTTTCACGAGTATAAATGCTCACACGGATGATCGTTCCTTGAAATCAACAAGCTTGTCATCGATAGCATGTCATTCCTAACGTGGTTTTAGAAGATATGGTCTGCTAGTGTCCTGCAGATCAAAAAGTTCACTATTGTCATCGTCAAACAGTTGCAAAACCATACCTATTCCTATGAGCGTTAGAAAAGTCGAGATGTATGAGGCATGTAAGGCCACTCATAGAAAGCTAGATGTTGGAAGATTGACAAGCATGAGAGGCGGCATAAGCGTACCAATATCGTTATGACATTATAAGTCTGGAGCGAAATAGAGTTATCTGGCGCAAGAGGTGCGAACTTCACAAATTTATGCATCTTGTACCATCGTCATTTGCAATGACTCACAGGCCATTGCAATGCTTATCACCTGAGAAAACTATGGTATTGGCACACCGTATGTTGCAGCGGCGAAAATTTCATAGAAAATATTGGAGTGCTATGCCCAATGTATCATATCTAGTATCCCCAAAAATAGGGGTCCATATCTTTGACCCTGAAAAAGTTGCGATGTTTTGCAACATACTATGATATATGTTGAACATTTGTCTCACAGTATACCAAGTTTCTTTCCAAATAACTAATTTTTGTCTTCAAAATGCTTAAATTTACACTTGCATCTCAAATTGATTTTCGGCAAAGGACAAACTGACCCTCTTCAAAATCACCTGGTGGGAAACTGAGAAATCATTACTTAAAAATTTTGCCACCAGGTGGTTGCCAAAACGTACCACTTCTGATACAGCAGGGTTTTCAACAATTTTCACCTCTATGATTAGCAGGCGAATTTTCTGCAAATTGACTTACAGATATGCTACCGGGGGCACTAGAGGGTTAATTGAGACTGTACAGCAATTTTGAATGCTTATAACCGTCCTGAAATTGTCACATACTATACATAAAAACATCATACAGTATATAAATGTTTTGCTTAAGGGCATGAGTTTTGGCGAATGTTGATGCACATTGTACAATGCACATCAGCACTGCCAGAGCTTCATCGCCGCTAGCTTAGGCGCTGCCACTCTCAGAAATGATGCACTTTGCTCACCCGTTAAGCGAGCTCCCACTCTTCTAACGCGAGGTGTCTATATCTCCAGGCCCCTCTGACTGCCACGCCGGGGATCTCAGCCAGCAGCTGTTCAGCCTCTCCGGCACCGGTTCCGCGGCCTGCCCCGCTTCGGAAGAGTAGTCCGCTGCAGATGAACGGAATCTCGACGCAGAAGGGAGTCGGCGAGGGCTGTGTGAACCCGGTCAATGTGTGAGAGGGAGAGAGAGAGAGAGAGAGAGAGAGAGAGAGAGGAGAGAGAGAGAGAGAGAGGGGGGGAAGGGAGTGAGGGAGGGAAGGAGGGAGAGAGAGGGTGAGAGGTAATTTTAAAGAAATAGGAGTGAGGCTCAAGGAACGACTCAAGGTTCGATGAAGAATCATCGAAATATTAATAGAATTGCCAGGACTGCAGAAAAATGAAATTGTTATTTTTCCTTTATTAGCCTAATGGCTTATATACCAAATGGTTTTATCTATAGATGATCACTATTTCACTTACAAAGTTTATCAATAAGTGAACCTCATTTGGCATTCCAAAGTGATGGATGGTGATGCATAAATTAGATGCGAAGTCTGATAAGTAATATGAATGTAGCGAGCCGGCATGATGCTGGTTGGTTGTATGTTACAAACGGTACAATTTAGTGTACAAAGCATTTTACCATTACCTGATTCACAGACTTCTTTATATAGTGAAGTCTGTGCCTGATTAACCCGGCCGGGCCCGGGGGGTAATCCCAACCACCGCAGCCCGGGGGGGGGGGCGTTCTTCGCCCGCCCCCCTGTCTAACTCCGTACATAAGGGAGCTACGGAAACAAAAGCGATACCAAACGAAAGGTCCTTACGAGACGATTCTAAAGCACCTAAAATTTTTGACCTAATTGACACAGTCTAATTGCGGTCAGATGACTATCTTACACGAACGACTGTTGCTTTCCATATCAGTGCGTGGGTACCTATTCATTCATTTTAACTGTTGGACGAAACATATTTATTGTGAGCTTTCTTTCATGTTGTATGCACTCGTATCCGACTGGTATTCGATTCACCTGTGATTGAATCGATTGGATTGAATCAAACAAAATTGGTTGAATCAAAAAGGTTTGATTCACCGTCAAGATTGTTCGATATCGATTCACAAGCCATGATTGAATCAAATGCATTTGGCATCAGGGCTGATTAAAAAAAAAGATTCATGAACTTAAAAAAAGAAATTATGAAGTGAACATAGTTCATTATCCACAAATGTTATGACTACTGTCATGTGATGATAACTGCATGACAACAAAAAGAACACAACAAATACATATATTTCTGGATCAGGGATTATTTTCTGATCAAATCGAAAAAAGAATCGTTCAATAGCTTTTTGGCTGAAGCAAACGTGAATCATTCCTGTTTTGTTTTTTGATTCTCTGAATCGAAAGGAATCGATTCACCGAATTTTCTGAAGGAATCGAACGGTGATTGAATCGAAAAAATCGCATGAATCAATGATTGAATTGATCCAAAAAAAGGTGAATCAATAACCAGTCTGACTCATGACATTATATTCATTTTATAAACACCTCGCATTTTTAGATATGTGTTGGTATAAGCGCTGAGGAATGTAGCTTCGCCGAAGGTGATAAGGAGGCACGTGTGTATGCATGTGCGCATAGGTATACAATACCTAGACGCACGCATGTAGGTGAGAAATAAGAATTTTAATTTTGAGACACTCAATATCCTGTTATCAGTGTAAATAGCCGCTCCACGGTGTCTATATGATATGACATTCTTTAGGTCGTGTGTATGACAGTGTCGTCGGATGAGATGAGAGCTATCCCCGTCATGCCGTTCATATGTCATATTTGTATCATATTTGCACTGTTGTCAGGCCGGGAAGGGCGCGGCGGGCGCGTCTGCTCCATAGCAGTAATACGCGAACAAAGCATCGGTGACCCGAGTGAATCAAGTCCTATAGGACTTGATTCCTTGTGTTCTTGTTTCAACCATGTCTATATGTGGCGTAATGTCATATGTGTCATTATTGTCATATGATCGTCGTTGTATCGAGAGCTGTGTTTTGAAGAAGGGTGAAGCGTACATGTCTCTTCAGTGAGATAAGGCCATCCCGGGTGTCCATTGATATGTATATTGATATGTAAATGCATGTCATGTGTTGACACGTGCCATAAGAAGGTAAATTTATATCAAGTACGAGCACGTAGTGGCAACTTATGGTAGAAATGCCCACTTAATTCAGATTGAATTAAGAACAGATATGAGTCATATGAGTTGAATTTTAACCATCTGAATGTCACTTTGTGATGTGATGTCTCTATTTTAAGAATAAAAATAAAACCTCGTCTTAAAAAGTTCCTTTCCTTGCCTTCTTGCCGAAATGAACATCTAGGGTGAATAGGTCAAAAACGCCCCCAGTAAGCGCGAAACCTTCTGACACTGAACCCAACACAGATTACTCAAACCTTTGGGCACCATCATGTAGCTCATTCTTTTTACTACGCTTTGAGACCAAGAAAAGACACCTGCGTGTGGTATTTAACCCCCCAAAAAGGTTTTCGCATACCCTTACAAAAGGGCGTTTTGCCCCATACCCTGGGTAATACGCCCACACCCATGTGCAAAGCGCCCCCATCCCATCCATCAACAGAACATGATGAACATGGCAGAACTTGACGTCATTCTGACGTCATTTGTGGTCAACCTATCATAGCCTTTGTAATAAAATTTTGTTGCAATGTATAAAATGGATGCCCGGAGGAGTCCTGAAAGTTTGGTGACGATATCTGCAGTCGTTTAGGATATATCAGCAAAAAAGGACAGGGAGAGGCCTTTTCGGCTCCGACCTACAGGGTCGGGCCCTGCACTCTCACCACCGTGCAAAACGCCCCCCTTTAAGAAAACTGGGGGCGTCTTGCCCCATGCATCGAGTAGGCGTCTTTCCCCATCCACTCCATTTCCGGTCAACAAAATATTGACAAAAAACGCGCCACTAACGCCGCAGCATAATAAATTCAACAGAATGACAATAAAACGCAGTTTTGCGTGATGTGCACAATAGCAAGTTTTGTGATATAAAGAGGGCATAAAAATATTAGAAAACTTCTGTAAAAACAAGAAAAACAACACCCAAAACCAACATCAGCACCTACCCACGCTGCTCCTCAAGACGCAGAACCGGAAATAGAGACCTACGTAAACAAGCAGCTGACTGTTCTGAAAGACAGGATAAAACACCTATCCGTCGATAAGAAATACGACTTTTTTAGGGGAGGCGTTTAACCCAGGGGTGCGTTTTCCCCACAGTTACCCTATCAACTGTGTTGTGCTTGTCCTGTGTGTATCGGCGACCGTCAGCGTCAGGTGCGCGGGAACTACCTTCAGACGGGGGGGGGACACCATAATTGAGATCAGCCTAGGGTACCTCCAAAGTTAGTTTTCTCACCTGTTTTAGGCCACTTATTTTTCATCCCTAGGCTTTTTCAACAAAAAAAGATAATATTTGCAAAAAGTGCGGTATTTAGTCTCAAAGTTCCAGAGTTGGGGGAGGGGGCAGGCTGCCCCCCCCGGCCCACTGCCCCCCCCCCCCCCCCGGTTCCCGCGCCTATGGTCAGCGTCACCGATCTTTATGCCCACCTACCGCCTGTAAACAGTGCCGGGTCGACGGATTGTCCATCTTTAAACATTCTATGACTACCTGGATGCGGATCCAGACTCCAGTCGAGACATTTCCCAGCGTACTTAGAAAGATTGAATCTTTGAAAAAAGTATCTTACGAACTAACGAAATACAGGGCGCAAACAAAGAGAAGATTGGCATCCGGCTTTAACTGTGTGCCTGTCTCCTAGTCTATGTATAAAAATATATAGATTATACTCACTGAGCTGTTTCTAACAAGGAAACGGCATATGGCTAACAGAGGTAGGTATGTTGCTCGGCCTCGGGAGTGCACGTTGGAGTGTTAAACAGAAACAAAGGTGCTAGCACATCCTTCCAAAAGCGGTATCATGTTATATTGTATGTGGCCGGAAAAATGGGTGGATTTAATTAAGGTATATGACTCAAATACATTCAAAGGACGCCGGACGGTCAAAGAAGCTGTATACCGCGCGATCAAGCCGACGAACAGCAAGATATCCATCTAGCCTATTGTTTGCATCATTTGCTTTCTGATGCTGAATTTAGTACGTACTCGTGTAAAAACGCATTTAGAGGTTGTGAAACACAAGAGACTAAGGTGCGTTCAAAATCGGCTCCACACCCTCTCTCATGCAGATCATCCGCTCAGATTCAGGGTGACACTTTTATTATCACGTATACATGTTACAGGCAATGTGTGGAATCAGACATTCTATAGAACGTCTAATCGACCACTGACCAGGCATTCTATAGATTTCCTAGCAGGCATGTGCATGGATCCGATAAAATGGATCTGGGATCTGATCCCACGGATCCTGATCTCGGATCCGTCTGGATCATAGATCCAGCTCTTTAATTTATCGAAGGATCCGTAAGGATAATAGATCCGAGTCTAATTTTTGCTTAGAGATCCAGTGAGATCATAGATCCTCATTTATTTTTTGTCAACAAAAATCCAAAAAAATCACTCGCTGCAACTCACAAACGTTCTGTTTTAGTGATTTTATGTGACTGCACGTCATAATCCATAGTTTTGTGACACTTATTACATAAAGACACTTGGAAACCTGATTTCAAATGTTGTGCATGGTGGGATCCACTCGGATCATAGATCCATGTTCTTGGTTTATCGTCAGATCTTTGAGATCCAGGATAATTTTTTCACGCCGGGTCTGGTAGGATCATTGATCCTAGCCTGCAGTCTGCTTCGAGATCCACTGAGATCATAGATCCATCACTCGGATCCATGCACACGACTGTTGATCACTATCTGTCCCAAAACTTCTCAGAGCCCATCCCCGAACTTCTCACATCCCGTCCCTCAGCACAACACCGCTTGTGCCTGGGATTCTCACCAACCGTCTCGGACTTCTCACCAGCTGGCACTGGGCTTCTCACCAGCCATCCTCGGGCTGCTGACCTTCCTCGCTGCTGTCCGTGCCGAGTCCATGTTCGGCAAACCAGCTGCTCTTTTTGCAGCGGTTCGGCAGGTTCTCCCACTGGAACACCCTGAGGAAGTTGTCCGACCAGAGGTTGGCGTCGATCCCGGGCCGGCTGGACGAGCTTAGCATGGAGAAACCGTTCAGGCCCTGGCGCAGTGTGTCGCGGTAGTAGTGCCGGTAAAACTTTTCTCCGTTCATGTGGTGGCCAAGCAGCTTCTGGAAGAGATCACCTGCGCTCGAGTCGAGGAGGCATGCCAGCATGTAGCGCGCAGCGAGCGCCATACCGTGCTTCAGGTTCAGGACGTCGTCACGCTGCACATCCATGCCGTAACCAGCCATCAGGCTGATCTCCGGCCAGAAGTAGCACTGGAGGTCGCTGCGCGAGACCTTCTCCAGGAGGTAGTCGACCACGGCAGTCATTGACTCGTGCATCCGGTCCCAGGTCCAGAGCTCTCGCGGGCGCTGCTCGCACACCCACATCAGCGCCGTCTTCAGGTGGTAGCTGGAGAAACGGTGGCCCAGCATCACGTTGCAGTGTTTCAGCAGGGTCAGACAGATGCGCTGCTCATGTGACAGCGATCGCAGCAGGATGGTCTCGTGCCGGGAGAAGGAGAGTCGCCAGGCGTCCTTGTCGAGCCTCTGGGAGCCGGCAACTACCAGGAATGCGGGCGCCGCGCAGAGACTGGCCACGAGCGCGGCGTCCGGGTAGCCGGAGGGCCGCCGCCGGCGCCGGTACTGCTCGCTCGGCCAGCAGCGACACGGCACGCACGGCACCAGGTCGATGCGGCTGTTGTTCTCGTCGTCGACGGCGATACAGGAGGCCGGACCGCCGCCGACTTCGAAGTTGGTGACGCGGATGCCGAGGCGTTTGGCAGCGTCTTGCAGCGCGTTTCCGAACAGCTCCATCCTCTTGCGCACCGTGTATCCGGAGAGGAAGTTGCGGTTCGGCCGCCGGCACGAGCGGCTGTGGTGATGGCGCAGCAGGACGTAGCCGGGTCGCCCTGCCGACTCCTGCACCACCACCACGCCAGGCGGGGCGTGGGCTGGCGGAGGGTCCTCCTCGCTGTACACACTGACCGGTGCCAGCTCAAACATAATGTCAATGTCCGATGACTGCTCGGTGTAGGACTTCTCCTCGCGGTTCTTGGTGTACAACGCTTCCTCCAGGCTGAGGTCAGATATTTCCCGCACCTCGTGAATGTGCACCTCGGTGCCTTCACGCGAGCTGCCGGAGAGGTAGGATCGTTCGAGGTGCAGCGCCCCGGGGCCCTGGTCCGAGCATCCGTCCGCCGGGGAACAGGTCATGCGCGGCTCGTTCATCTGCCAGGCCCAGTCTGTCTGCAGCGAGCTGCCCAGCTCGGCTGCTAGCAGCTGCTGGTACTGGAAGGCAGCGTGCTGTTCGCCGCCGATGGCCAGCAGCTGCTCGCGCCATCGGAACACACGAGCGAGCGCCGAGAACACCTCCTCGTCTGTCAGAGGCGCCTCGAAGGCCGGCTGCAGGGAGGCGATGCCCACGGCGCGGCTCAACAGGTTTCCCATGGCCGCCTGAGGAACAAACAGAGTGATAACGCACGAAAATATGTGGTTCGGCTGGCAGACAACGCAGAGACAAGCTATGTAATATGTGTCTTGTTTCCAAGATAGAACTGGTTTACACTTACCTTAGAATGTAAAAATGGGCGATGACAAGTATTCTATTCTTCTTTTATGCATTTGAACCTTATACACACACGCCAGACATCGCAAGATGTATTCCCCGTATGTATAGTCCGCCATTATGTTGCGGGAGCTAAACACACCAAAACGAGAGGCTTCAATCTGTTGGACTTCCATGGAAGTCAACCGGCACCGAGTGAACGCCGAATCGGCGTACGTCTCCCCTGGCGGCCGCTGGAGGTCAGTCATAGGAACGCTGCCGCTGGAAGAACTCATCAGAAGGCCAGCAGGCCGCCCTCCTTAGACAGGGAACCATGTCAGAGTCACTTCCTGTGAAGTTGATGATTTCTTTCGATTCTTGTTCAAATGAGGTGGCAGGTCGTGCGGATGTAAACTCTGTCGCAGTGCACGTCCCGAGCTGACAGAAATCTCCCATCAACTGTCTGACGTCGCGTGCCGAGAACACCCTTGGAGTGTCGTGCTTACACCCGTGCTGCCGTTCACACGTTAGCAACACGAAGCCAGGATTTTCGGTAGCTATCACTGAGAGTCTGCTCGGCGTCTTGCTGCTCACCGGGTCGTTGACGATGCTGTCGCTCGACTGAAGCTGTCCAGCGCCTTCCACCGCCCAACACGTACCGGTCCGAACTCAACCATCAGGTCACGGTACCCCAGTCAGAGGTCGCCGAAGGACCAGACCAGACCCATTCTTGGAGAACCTGTCAGGCCCTCCATCCAGCTGCCCGACATGGAGCAGCTGACGACCCTCAGCTTTCCGAACGGGAGACAGGAACAATGCTCACCGCGGTCAGGCTGCAGAGCCTCCAGCACCGGCGTGCTCTGCACAGTCATCGTTCCGGTGAGGTGTTGTTCCTACTTCCTCCAGTTGGGATCTGTCGAACAGCGTGGCAAACTCCACACGGGACACCACAAAGTTCAGTAGCAGGTCCACGTGCTCGCCATATCGAGGCAGTAGCTGCTGCAGCTCTTCACTGAGCTGCGGCAGCTCGGGTGGGTCTGACCTTTCCATCCCCGCCAAACGGCGGCAGATCGACCATCACGGTCCTCGCTCTCCCCTTCCTTGGGATAGGAGAAACACAATGTAGTCTGTGTGGTGTGTAGCTCACGGCATTCAAGTCCCGTTGCCGTCAACAGCTTGTGGCTCTTGATTATTAGGGCTTCACGGTTGAGGCGACTTCATGACTATTTGCGAGACTGCTTAGCTGGTCACTGGCACCGTTTAATTTTAGTTCGCGACATCGACGGTTCTGTTACTGAATGACTGTAGTACGATGGACTATAGCTCTTTGACACCGACTATTGTCCACCGAGTTGTGTAGCTCACAGACAGGTCGCACCCGAGTGGTGCCAGCGGCAGACGGCTGCAGTCTGCGCCACACCTCAACCTAACGCCGTCAGCCTTCAGTCGAGAATGAGTCACACATCATTCGCCGCCGACTATCTTTAATCGTGATAAGATGGAGAATGTGTGTACCTCCTGTCTATGATGCAGTGCTATCGGGACCTATGTGGATTACAGAGAATAGAGATAACTCGAAGTAGCTTGAGAGGCTTGAAAGGAGATTTCAACTTCCAACTTGCGTTATCATTGTTTGGCGCGAAGTTCAAAGAGCGACACAAATAGAGTCGTAAAACAGTAGAATCCCCCGACCATGTCTGCCAAGCTAAACATATCACACATCGGTAAACGTATACGGCTGTAACAGATACGTACATGCCCCTACTACCCTGAACTAGAGCAAACACTGCAAACCGAAACAACATAAAAGCATAACAACTAAGTTACCCACACGTCACACGAGCATCAAACCATATTGAGGCACTTAGACCGGGTTCAAATGGCGCCACACTTTGTTACTGCACTTGGGTCCGAGCTCGATGCTCGAGTGAGCCTCTCTAAACTTACCTCTCATCCCGGGCCCGCCCGGGTCCGGCTCACTCACACACACCAGTGAGAGGAACCGGTGCGTGTCGAGTGACCCCCGTTCTCTGTTTAACATTCCAGACTCACTCGAGCGCCCCCTGGGGTATTCCCCGGGTCACTCTCGTTGAACGAAAATACACCGCCACCCGGCCCGCAGCGCGGCACGGCGGCGCTGGCGAGCGCTTGCACCGGCGCGGTGCGGGCCGGGGGAGGGGGAGGAGGGAGGGTTAGATGACGCCATCGGTGGTGCTACGGTCAGGCCACGCGCTCAGTTGGCCTTGAGAGACTGTGACAAAAAGCAACGGCCGAGGCTTCTGCTGATAGCTCTGTGTACCGGCCGCTCGCACAAAGAACGTTCTCAGGAGCCAGGGCGGACGCATTATTTCAATTCACAAGCGGTCAGCGGAGAGTCTGAAAAGATGAACTGTTGAAACGATGCCGTTCAGCCGGGCAAACACGCTAACAGAAGTCGTCTGAGGCCTAATGAGAGTTTCACACGAAACCCGACCGTATAGGTATATGATTATTGATAAGTGCGCCTAGCAGTAGCGTCTATCCCATAGGCGCGGGAGCCGGGGGGGCAGTGGGGGCAGCTTGCCCCCCCCCCCCAACTCTGGGGCCGTGGGGGCGGTGCCCCCACAGCTTTGAGACGGAATACCACACTTTTTTTGCAAATGTTTTCTTTTTTTGTTGAAAAAGCCGAGGGGTGAAAAATAAGTGGCCTAAAACCGGTGAGAAAACTAGATTTGGGGGTACCCTAGGTTAATCTCTATTATGGTGTGCCCCCCCCCCCAGTCGGAAAGTAGTTCCCGCGCCCCTGGTCTATCCCCTTCAACACTCTCAGTGTAGGTACTGAATTACTGAAATGTCTGCGATTCGTTTCAAACCAAACAGCACAGCTCGTAATAAGCCACCGGCGGCAGATTGACCTCGGGGTGTTTTTTTCAACTTTTCTCCGACCGCGGAGAATTTCGTTCCCGGGATTGGGTTACAGATTGGCTGTTAGTCCGCGGCACCAGAGATGGTATACGCTCCCGGCGCCGTCTCATAAAACACCGAGCTCCCAATAAGGAGCCCGATATGACGCCCACAGCAGCAACAAAGTCAATATCTCAAGATTCGAGGCGAAAGTTATGGCGCTCCTTGCAGGAATAACACTGATATTAGAATTTTGACCTTTGGGTCAACGGAAAAGACTAAACCAAAGCAAAGTGTAATAGATACCTAATGGCCAAAGGTAGTGGAGTAGGGACTGGGGTAATACTGGATGCATTCGTTCAGTAAAAAGGCAAGATTCTGATCAAACCATTTTTAAAAATGAGTGAATTCAGTGCTGGCAATATTGAATGGTATGCGAGAGTCTACTTACTTGCAATAGCAGGTAGGTACCGAACTATATGACGTACGTACGTGCCTATGTAGACGACACCCTCATGACCATCTCAAATCATTAGACGAGAGATTTTATAACCACAAAAGACAGTGTCTCTGCGTTCCGGTAGCATCATAGAAGCAATCAGAATCAGAGTAATCATAAAAACGGATACCAATTTGGAGAGTAATATGGAGGCGAGCCTATCACGGGCCTGCCTGTTGCACGTTTAGTTGATTGTCAATCGTCGCTAAATCGATCGTGTTTTATAGCGTCTTTCGAAAACATACCGATGTAATCATTCGGAATGCTTGATTACGGATGTCGTCTATGCATTCATCGTAGTTGTTTGTCTACCTGAGGTATCAATGAAATTTTCGAACTCTATTCCTGAGCCTTTCTTGACTCTCACGTTTTCGTATATCTTACCGTAACGTTTTACATTTATTTTTATATTTTGCGACGTTTACTGTTGGGTACATGCTGCTCTACGTTGATCAACCGGTCCCGTCACATCATTCTTGCGAGTTTGCGACCATGAGAGATATCGTCCATGCAAATGCATACAGCTGACAGTTCACCAGTACATTGACGTGACTTCGCATGCCTAGGAGTACGTTGCTTACGACGATTTTAGAAGACAATCAGGTAGCATTTTATACAAATTTATTTGCTCCTAAATGCAGATAATCCTTCCACAGCACATCATGACAGGAAATCATAGGCGAAAGATTTTCTGTATAACCTTACATAGAGTAAATGTGAAGGACCGCAAACTTGATCACAGTAAAGACTAACAGCACCTTTGATTATTCACTTCTGTCCAGTGCTAACAAGTCTTGGACGGTCCGTAAACATTCCAATACGCCAGCGACATCTATTCACGTGATACTAGCGCCACCTACGCAAGTCACTGGTGCCGCGCCACTGGCCTTTAGCAGCGCCACGGGTCGAGCTCCGTTCCAAAGCACTGGCCAGGGGGCACTGTAGAGTCGCGGCCAGCGCAGGCAGATCGCGGTTAGAACGCACACGACGAGAGGACCGGATGAAAGGTGAATGGTACTCCGCGTCCAGCCTAGGCGGTCTTTTCCGACTTGATATCTGAAAAGAAACGGGAAAGTGTTAGACGGTTATCGATAGTCATTGGCCAGGGGATGGATAAACGAACACTAGGCGAGGCTAAAGTCACTAATTGAAAGCTCACAGAGGTCATATAAAAATTCTTGACTTTCAAAATCGTAAAATGAAACAACCCCTTCCTCGACAAACAACGATTACGACTCACAAATATTGTATTTGATTAAGTTTCGTTCAACGCGTGTCATTCTACCTACATATACGCTTTGTATCGGAATGTAATCATGAACCCTGTCGATCGAACCATAAAATGCCCCATTCCCTGCATAGGTATGCCTTACCATCCGCGGTGGGCAGGGAGTTTTTCTCCACGGTATCGGCGTGCTTCAGCTTGTTGGCGTCGAAGTTCTCGATTCCGTCCAGATGCGACTGGAGCTTCTTCTCCTGCTGAATCTCTGCGGAAAAATGTAAAAAAGCTGTCAATCTTAGCTTCCAATCCAACCATTAGTAAACGCACAACACGCTGTCTTTAGCAACGGTGGTTCCGCAGCCATAGCCAGTATACGAATACGGAAACTTCGGAATTATTACTTTTTTTTCGTTATCAAAGCAACGTGTCATCTATTCTAGAATTAATGACGCCACACAATGCCCGTGGATCACCGGGCGCCCCACAGCGGCGCCGGGGAACCGACCTTCGGGACTGGGCAGGTGGGTCTTCTCCTCGGGGGTGACGTTCTTCATCGAGTCCTTGTTGAAGTGCTCCACGCCCGTCAGCAGGTTCTGGTGCGTCTTCTCCTGCTGCACGTCTGTCAGAGAGAAGATGCAGACGGCCACAAGCGGTCAGGCTCGGCTAGGCGATAGGCGCTCTGGGAAGGCGGGCAGAGCCATATAGCAGGATGCAGAATTGGAGCGAATGTTGGCGAGGCAGGTGTGCATGCGGGACTTTGCGATATGGGAGGATTGATAATAACTTATTCATAGATTAGTGGGTGGGCATGGTTTGCGCAAGCAAAAAGACGGACAAAAGGACCTACGCTCAGACCGGGGCTTTTAGGAGAAGCCTGAGTGTAATTACGACACATGACATTTATACATTCTTGTCGTTCATCGGCCCAGCATCCATCGTCAGAACTCGGTTATAGGTCACATTCGAGGCATAGCGGACGGGTAAATGCTCAGAGGTGCACAAACCTTCCTACTTGCCTACAATGTAGGAGACAGGAAAGAGCCGAAGAGGGTAGCCGCGAGACAGATTTCAGTTTGTGTTTTCTGTACAAAAATGACTATAAAAACAGCTAACTGGTAGCAATTGGTCGGTACAATCAGCTGTCAACGGCATTTGGTCATTACATTTCTTTACGTGTCTTCAAAAACAGTTCCTACAAATCTCCTCCATGAGACACCCACGAGACAGTTCCCATTGGATTAACATTGTGTCTCATGAGACACCGTGTAGGTAAAATGTAGGATGAAAAACTACGAAAGTGGTGGGCATGTTTCGAAAAACGGCGCACAAATTCTTGGGGCGCCTTAACAAAACTCCTGTTCGAAAATGGGTTCTGGTAAAGTTTCGTCAGCTGGTTTCCATAGCAACCGCCATTCGTGGGACAAGCTGACGCCATTTGCTATCGCGTTGCGTGGTAACCAGCTATCGGTGTCAGTTGAATTTGAAAGATAATTGTAACAGTGAACAGCTCGCTTCAGTTGCTGTACTGTGCTGTGGATGTGTGTCTTGTGCAGTGTAAGCAAAGCGTATACGGACTTTCACATTATATTTTGTGATGTGATGGTGTGGTAATAGAAGGTTGTGAGCTCTAAGTGGAGTTAAGGAATTGCCAAAGAAATGAAAACTCTGCATGGGCCGGAAATCTGCCTGCACTTCTATAAACTCTTCATAAGAGGTTCGTGGCAGGGGGCATTTTTGGGAGCGATTATGGAGGTGCTGGTAAGTAGGTAGGTACCCAACCTAATTGGCTTGATGAGAACTGAAACTGAAAGTCAAATGAATTGTGAAATTGCTTTACCTATCCTATCTGATCACTTCTACTTATTTTTTAAATTTTCCATTCATTTTGATTGATAAAGAACAACATTGAAAGATGCTAACATGCAGGTAACTACCTACTTAGCTCTAATGTAAATAGGTACCTAATAATTTCGTTCAAAAGAATATATGGCTCTTCAATGTACTGGAGATTTAGTAATTGAAGGCATCTCACTTCATTTTGAACATTACCTAGGTATAACTTCCCTAAACTGCATGACAAATTTTCAATTTCCTTGTTGTAACACCAATACCACAAACATTCATCTGGGCACAAGGCTCACAACATCAAATTATTCATGTTTTATAGACAGGTACCTATACAGCAAAAATGCAACAGATATGTGATTATTTTAAACATAGTCTTTGTGTTCAGTTGTGTATATAATAATTTTGTGGGTGGAAAATGTGTCATGAATTGTCTACAGGTCTGTGTAGAATTGTAATTAATATGATTATAGAAAAAGGAATGGCCAGTTAAGTAGTCAACATGTTTACTCAACAACAAGATATGCTGGCATGGAGTTTGCTCATGAGTTTGCTCAAAAACCTTTGTTAGTGTGGGAAGCATAGCAATTTGAAGCATATGCTTATAAAACTGATTTGTAATGGGGTTTGTGAAGTTCTCCATAAACTTCACACCTAGCAATGTACCTACCTAATGCATTGCATTACTTTAAAAAGAGGGAGACCATACAACTTGTCAGGTAGGTAGGCTTTGACATTGATTTCAAGATTTCAAGGTGATCTGTGCTTTTGCTTATAACTTGTCCTCATTCTCTGACTAAAGGAGTGGCAATACAATCTGACTTGTTCTATTTTCCTCTTGCCTTGCCATTTTTGACATAATCCTTGCCCAGGCTATATGTTGGTATGATGAAGGTCAATCAGATGACATATTTCAAATATTACAGTCATGATTTCAGTTGAATTTGCCTAACTTTATTTAAACAATATAAGATTACACATTGCATAGCTATAACAGCAATATTTGAGCCACCATTGGCATAGAAATTAATAGGTTGCAAAACATTACTCAGCAAGAAGAAATCAGTCATTGACAGTGGAGAAAACACATCTAGACTTGACAACAAATTACAATTGATTATTCTTCTACCATTCATGTTGGCATAAGTAATAATTCAAATGGATACTTAGTGCATTTTCTTAAGATTTTAAGCACATGAGATCCATCCAAAGGCACAGACTCGGAACAAAGGCTGTGTTATAAACAAGGATATTGCACCTTTTTGGTATCTTAACATATTGTTATATTCCGACATCCTAAGAAAAATAATATGGTAATCTGCCCTGCTTCATTTGATACGTATCGATGAGTAATTGGATGTTGCGGGAATGCAATTAGTTTTCCGGCAGTTGTCTCCAGCAGCGACAAAATGGCCGCTTACTTTCTGTCAAACATTTGCTTTCATATGGCTAAGTACATTAACCCTATTAGTGGCAGGCTCCTGGCTACCCCATATTAGTGGCAGGGGGGGCTGTTTACGACCCCCCCTTGATATCTCGAGATCTAACCGGCCGATTTTCAAAATTCAAACGGCATTCGATTTGGCTCAACGAGATCTACATTTCTAAAAAAAATAAAATTAAAAAATGTCAATAGGGGGGTAGAGGGGGGTAAAAACGGGCAAATTGCAGATACATTTTAGACTGTTTATCACGGCCAGGTTTCTGAACCAATCTTAACGCAACTTTTGCCGATCGATAGAGAATGAACCAGGAATTCACATGGATCCTAAAAATATGCATTTTCAAAAATCATAGGCGGATACAGATCATTGAGATTGGGGGTACACAAAAAGTATAGTAAATAAGGTTTTTGTTGGTACTGTTTCTAAAAAGGGTGGCAATGGTCTTGTTATGTTACAATTTTCTTATGAGAGAACGACTAAAATTGTATTGGTCATGCATAGGCGGTGTCAGGGCACCTATGTTGGGAGGTAAAAAATAACCCCCCTTTTTGGACGCCTGGATCCGCCTATTATAGCAAAAACGTGTCAAAAGAGGATGCACAATAACTTTGTATATGTTATCACATGATACCTTTCATTCACTGTTCGTAAAACTGGTGCAGCATCGTGATCTTCGCCCAAATGACTCGCTTCACGAATAGGACCCCCAATTCCCAGTGCTCTGGAGCCGCCCCTGGTAAAGTTATGAACTTGAAATTTTCAGGGAATGTGCCCAATTTAGTTTTAGGAATAGTCAGAAAATTTCAGCATCGTAGCTTCAGCGGTTTCGGAGATATTCCCGAAAAACCTGAGGGGTGGATAAAAACAACCCCCCCTGCCACTAATAGGGTTAATTCACTTAGTCTAACTTTGTCTAGCAAATCTCCAGTTTTACTTCGGAAAAACCGGCAGCGTGTTCCACATTGGTGACCCCGCCAGGCGAGGCAGTTCCGTCGGCCGTCGATGTCCTTCGGTCATATAACCCCCAATAAAACTAGCGCGTCGAACGATCGGCAGCATGGATGGTCTCACACCATCCATGGCAGGGACCGACCTCACAGAGCCACGCAGAAAACAGGAATATCGGATTTATCTGCCTCTAAACTGTAATGTATGAATGCGTCGTGAAAATTTTACAAGACAGCTGAGGTTTGCTAAGCAAGAAAAAATAGACCAGGATCTGAGTATATATAGATTGACAATTGTTGATAAGCGTTTAGGAAGGCCTTTAAATTAAATATTCATTTGCTTTAAATTAAAGCCGCTTCTTAAAGCCTACAGTCAAAACGTTTTCTGAACGTTTGTGGTCCTCAATATGATAGGTATTCTATGATAGGTATTCCATAGCAATTTAATGGGCTTCGTCCCATTAGCAAATATTGCAAAATCGTCCTCAAATAATTTTTCTTACCTAAATGAAGTAATGTTGATCCAGGAAAAAACTTGTTACACACTCCTTAAAGTTTCATATTCCTAAACAGAAACACTGATGTGCACCGTACACTGCAGCGTTACGTCACTTCACCTTCAGCCCGCCAAGTAGTAACTGCCCCACTAAACGGGAGAGGGACGCTATGGGACGGCAGATGGACGCCCGTCTGGTCCATGTGGAACTGAACCCTCATTGGATGAGAGGAATTAATTGAGCGTCCCGGTGGTTTTATGAGGGTAGTTCTTGACTTTCCAGTGTTTCCAGACACAGTCAACAACCAGACCGCCTCACTCTAGTCTATTTATACACCAACAGTATGCATTTCAGGTGGAGGTGTACCAAGTCCTGCCTCGCACTTTGCCCAAATCAGCGCATACCGTATGTCTGTCGGATTCTTAGAAAAATGACGATATATCTGCGGATAGCTTCAGAAATAAAAACACTTCAGGAATAGCGTTTACGTCCTGTAAATATTAATAACTAAAATGTAAATAACCAGCTTTACTTGAAAGTATAGATATGTTGGGATATACCTAAGGATGATCGGTGAGACAAACCGGAGCCATCGGAGACCGTGTAGGAGACAGGCTGGGCTATTTGTGCACCTCTGTAAATGCTGGCGGGCGACTTACAAAAAAAGGTCACGATGAAGTTTTAGTACTTCGAACGCGCTTGTGAGAAAAAAATAAAAGAAGACTAGTAAAAGCTGTAAAACCATCACGAAATAAATTGAAAATTAAACGTTTCACGCTGAAATGAACTTGCGTTGCGTCGTCAAAACGGCATGATTTCGTCGTCAATACGGTGACGTCAAGCGATTAAGTCATGTTCTCTCCAACCCTTCTCTGTCGGTTCCTGGAGGTCACACGACTTCCGCCAGCGAGAGAGAGCGCCGGAGAGTCTCGGGCGGCCGGAGAGAGCCGGAGAGCGCAGCGGCCGCCGGGCCCAGTGCGGTGGGGCGTGGAACGCGGCCCGCTCGCCGCGGCTTCTATGGCTTCGGCCCGACACTACCATATAAGGAGTGACTGGGTCGCCGGCCGGGCGGCCCAGGGGTCGGTCGGCTGGGATGCGGCGGCGAGCCGTGGCGGCCGGCGGGAGGTCGGCTGGCACGCGACCCGCGTACAGGCTGATCGGCAGAGTGACTGCCAGACTGACCCGAGCACAGACTGACAGGAAGACTTGACTGGCAGACTGATCGGCAGACTGATCGGCAGACTGATCGGCAGACTGCCCGACAGACTCATCAGAGCACAGACTGACTGGTAGAACCAAGCACGACAGTACGCAGCGCGTCTGTCTACCGTCTACTCGTCTGTCTCGGACACACCGGCAGACAGCGGCAGACACACTGGCAGACACATCGGCAGACACACTGGCAGACAGACTGACCGGCAGAAACATCGGCAGACTGACCGGCAGACAGGCCCGCGCACATAGCAGACCGGAAGACAGACCCTCGAACCGACAGATCTGCTGACCGACAAGAGAACTACCAGGAAACTGAATGACTGACTGACCGGCGGACAGGTCCACTAACAGATCTGCTGACCGACAGGAGAGCAACCAGGAAACTGGTCGAATGACCCACCAACAAACCGAATGACTGACTGATTGGCTGAAAGACCCCAATGCCTAGCAGACTGACCGACCGTCTACCGACAATCGACAGACTTTACATTCATATGATGAAGATAAAACACTCCGGGTATACTTATCAAACTGCTACCACGAAACAAAATATATGCAAAATATAAACAAATACATGTAAATGGCAAAAAATATTAGAAGGACCGACACAATCATATTGCATGATAACGTCTCCGTGTAATGTAAATATTTTTCCTGCTCCCCGAGCCGGGAACGTTTCACTTCCTTCCATCTAACCATCTCCAAATCTGGTTGTCGAAGACGGAGGACCTCACAGCACGACCAGAGCCGGCAGCGTCTCGCGTGCGCCGTATTCGGCGACCGGCAGCATGTATGCACAGCGGGACGGGATGCAAATGACGCATATAAGACGGTACCGACGGCCCAAACATGGCAGTGCCGGCGGACCGTCAGCGCAGGGCTGACGTCCTCGCCCGCGGCTCGGGGACACGGGTGGGGAGGGGCCGGGGAGCACAGAGGGCGGAGATGGGTGACTCACCGGGGTTTGTGCTAAACAGCCAGTGGCCAGCGGCATATCCTTATCGGTGTGTGTGGGTGAGTGGTGTCCAAATGTTGAGCCGGCAGAGACTGTCAGCGTTCGTTAGAGGCCATACAGCGGGCGGATGTGAGGGTCCGGGTATGGGCGTGTTATGATGGACACGATAAAAGTGTTGAACGTCTGTCGTCCAGGCGGATGCCTTCTCCACCAAGAAGCTCATAGGGGTTACAAAGGGTCTTACACGATCGATGAGTTATGTTTCAGGACGCTTGTGTTCCGAAGAAGTTAATTTCATGCAGTTATCATACTCACGATAAATCATCATGAACACTGCGATTATGTACAATCGATACCGGTCGGAATACTTTTAGCATATGGGATAAACACGATCCATCTAACCCCGCCTTAGTTATAGTCGGACAATCACCAAAGAAGCAGAGAGGGAAAAGCTCGGAATACATATGTCTAAGGAAAGCCGAGGGAAAAATAAGCCAAGAATAAGCTATGCTCGTCTCTGAGGCATTACCGTCGGGAGAGGGGAGGCGGTTCTTCTCCTGGGTCTCCGTCTTCTTCAGCTGCTCGGAATCGAACTTCTCGACGCCCTCGAGCAGGGCGTTATGCGTCTTCTCCTGCTGCACATCTGTAATGGAGTCGGCAGGGCGGCAGGCGGTCAGCCCCGAAGCAGTTGAAGCACAGCCTGGGCGAGCGCTGCAGAAGCATAGCGGGGGATAGCCGAGTTCGGCCAGCGGTAGCGGGTGAGCGGGGCGGGCGATGGCAGTGATTTGGGGAACTAGCGCCGGAATGGTAATAACGCTATACCTACTAATAGCGCCTGAGCCAAAGTTCAGGATTTCAGCAACTCCTTTTCCAGCCGCGTTTCATTCCCGTCCTCCCTAACCCGCAGTAATCAGGCTTAGCTGCGCCGTGCGTGCCCCGTCTTTTTCACAAGGCGCTCTCAAATCATCGTTCGCAGTTTGGCTTCATAAGTCAACTCCGCGTGTCTGGCATTTATGTCAGCCTCACATCATCGCTATCACGTCTGTCGGTGAGCCGGGCAGGACACAACAATGGGCTGATGAAACCAAGAGTGCAGACTGCACAATGCACATTGCATATGCACTCGGCACGCTAAACGGTTACCGCATAGCCGCCCTCTCGCGCCGTTGGTGAAAGAAACCGTGTAGAGCCCCAGGAGACTGCGGTAATAGCTACTTACTGCAGCAGCCGCAATTTCACTGACTGAAACTGTGGATGCCCGAGAGCCACTGATAATTACAGTTGACTGTCCTAACAGGTAAAAAAGACCTCGAACAGCTGCGACAGCGGCTGTACTATTATATATTACCGTATTATTACCGATAACCTGAAGCTCCTGTCGGTGATAGTCTCTCATATAACCAGATAAATTCATTACATAAGCTAAGTGCGAAAAACGGAGGCCGACACTCCTTGCAATCTACTACAAGATAAGTTTGTAATGCGCATTGTGCATTGCGCATTTACTTAAGTTTGTAATGGACATTGCGCATTTACTTCTAACTTCGGGTCAATGGTCAATCTGAGTTAGCTGTCAGCGAGCGTTCGGAAGCGTTTGTTCGTTAGAACATTGCGCAGCGCCTTATCTCTCCGCTATGAGCACAGTGTGTAGACAGTGTTGGCGGACCGTCTGACTAGCCAGCCGTGTGCAAACGCCTGAGGTCAGACGGAGAATACCGAGAAGAGCGGGTCACTTTGATGTGAGCGATGTGGTGAACGATTGACTTGAGTTGTCACAGAGGGAAAGCCAAAGGGAAAAGAAAATGATCTGTAGAAAGAAACGTGCACACATGGGAGTCAGATAGCCCAGAGACGGTGTACTGAGATGCTCTATGGGATCGTGAAGGTAACGATGACGTCAAGGGGGATGTTGAATATGAGGAAGGTAGTGGAAATGCCAAGGGATTACAGTCCAGAGAGAGAGAGGAGAGAGAGATAGAGAGATAGAGAGAGAACGAGAGCGAGAGAAAGAGAGAGAGAGAGAGAGAACGAGAGAGAGAGAGAGAGAGAGAGAGAGAGAGAGAGAGAGAGAGAGAGAGAGAGAGAGAGAGAATGAGAGAGAGAGAATGAGAAAGAGAAAGAGAAAGAGAAAGAAAAAGAAAAAGAGAGAGAGAGAGAAAGAGAGAGAGAGAAGAGAGAAGAGAGAAGAGAGAAGAGAGAGAGAGAGAGAGAGAGAGAGAGAGAGAGAGAGAGAGAGAGAGAGAGAGAGAGAGAGAGAGAGAGAGAGAGAGAGAGAGAGAGAGAGAGAGAGAGAGAGACCATTATACAGATAGGTAGCTAACACAAAACAAGTACTTTACTGAATAAAACTAGACGATCCTCGGCTTAAAGAATCAAAGAATGAAAGTTGCACTGCAATATATCGCCCAGCTCCACGGCCAAGACCGCGGCGCGGGAGGGGCCGGGCGGGCCGCGAGGCGCGGTAACCAGCCCTCTCGACCTGCAGCCGACAGGAAGCGTTCGAGGTGTGCCGCCGTTCGTATGCACACCACGGCGGGTGCTGAGCGTTCGCGGACGTGCCGGCGATCGGTTCCGATTGCTGAGACCCGCGGACGGGCAGGTACGGAGTGCGGACCGGCGTCGGACGGCGGCACAGGAATGCGGGAGAGGTGTTGGCTGAACGGTGAAGGTGCGCGGCCATTCGCTCTCCATTCTCCACAAACGAACCCATGCCATGGGTTGGACAGGCAGGAGGCATCGTAAATTAAATATTGAGCGGATATGATTGTTTGTGGAACTTTTTTGTCTTCAGATATGATCTATTTATTTCACGGTCCATTCATCGCGGGTGAATGAGGAATTAATTTGCATTTACCATGTGGATGATCTGGATTCTGAAATCATACCAATAAAACTTTTTGGGTAAACAAAAGGTCAATAGTGTGCAATTAAAAACAATAGGGTTGGGACCTATCTGCATGCTCTGTATGTTTTGGTAAAATAAAAAAGCTCAGAATTTTTAATGATTTAATTTAAAATCACTTTGTTAAAAAAATGCCTAGTTAGTTCAGAAATTAATTATTTGTGGCTAAAAACAACTTGCTTCTGATTGGTCGGGCTAATCATGACGTCACATGTAGGTATATAACTGTCTGTATATTTGGCGCAGTTGAGACATACATTTTCTATGTATTTTCCTATGGTAAATCGGGGTGATTGGTCGTGTTTTCAGTGTCTCTTTATTTTGCGCTGGTATTGCGTGGCTAAGAAGTTTTATCAAGAATGGCATATACTAAAATGTTCCTTTAATAATGGAGCTTCAATATCTGTGAGTTTTATTGGCAAGCGAAAACTGATTTCGCTGTTATTTTATCTGGAAATTACTCATTTTTTTTAGGTCAATATTCAAAATATTTTACGGGAACAAGTTGGCACTTTTCTTGATTTTTGCACTCAAATCGCGTGCGATTCAACTGTATTGGAACTTGCAAAGAAGCTTGGTGATTAATTAACTGCGTTGTTATGGCACTGTTTGCAAAGCATGGATAATGAAACTCTGCCAAAGACTTAGCTACATAGCAATGCCTCAAGTAATACGCAAGAGGGACAGAATTCAGAGTCCGATCGAGAAGAATCGGTGCAAATGCTACGAAGACCAGGCAGCTCTGATACAATAGCTAGTCGTCTCACTACTCTCACTCCATAAGACCAGCTGATTCCTGACAGCACCGACTCGGATGCAAAGATGGAGCTCATCTTCCAAGCCAGAAACCAGTTCTTTGATGGAAGATGTGATGCTGCCTCTGTCTCTGCTTTGTTGGCCACTTTGGACGGGGCGGAGCTCCGCTCCTTGCGTGAGCGGTTATTCGCCTGTCATCCAGAAATAGTTCCTTCGTTTGCTGGCCGTTCCCTGATTAGGTGCAATACGGGGAGCTGTAATCAGGGAAGTAACTTTCCATATGAAAGGGGTGCAGGTGCACCCCCGTCCCCCATCCACTAGAAGTGCACCCCCATAGGCTAAGCGGCGCCCCACACGCCGCCCCACACGATTAGCTCTAGAGCAGATGGCGAGGGTGATTTCTCGGCTACATTCCATCTCGGCGTCGTAATGCTTGTGGGCTTGGAAAGCGTCCAGTCGTATGTAGGGTAGTGTAGGGGTAGGGTTGAGTTAAATAAGGTCCTTACATTTGAAAGGTTTGAACAACCCGCAATCAGCACAACATACCACAAGTTAAATAAAAAACTACCAAACTCCGCCCAACTAATATTAATAAACATTACAGCCAAACTAATGGCCTAAATAAAAATATATCTCAAATCCTAACAGTTATCGCGGGTGATGGCGCCATGAGTTGCTATTATCCAAAACAGATGCAAATAAACATGTTTGTATGTCCTATGTATGTTTGTTTTAAAAACGTTGCAGCGGCGCTGGGAACTGCAGTCTTAGATCTGGGTATGTTTGGCATCTGCAACTCTTCATATACCTACACATTAACCCTATTTCGGACGGGGAGACCTTTTAGGATTTTCTTGTACAATTGCCAAACGCCGCGAGACATTCAGCTCATATTTGGTGACTTTTCCTAAATGCTCATTTCGCACATCTCAGCAAAAAAAAAAAAAAATGCCGGGTCAGGTCAGGTCAGGTAGCCAGAGCGGGTTTGTTGACCCCACCTCAGAAAAGTTTGCAAACACGTCAGAGCTTGAGTTTTTCACGAAGTTATTTCCTTTCATCAAGTCTTCAAAACAGTACCTGCAGTATGTGTCGTTTGTATATCTCAGAATTTTTGATCTGTGACCTGAGGTTAGGTCAGAGTCGTGACCTTTACATTGCAAGCCTATGGAAAATTATTGAAATGCGACCTGCACCTCGAGTAAACGAGTCAAAACCACCCAATTCTTTAAGAATTATGACAAATTATCTTATCTGTAATGATCCAGGTGCCATTTACTGACAGGGACACCGGAGAGGGTTATCTGAGCCGAGATCATGTGAGGTGATATCTACCATACATCAATGCTCACAATGCTTACAATATTGACAATGCTTTTGCTTACAACACTTACAATACTTACGATGAGACCAGCAAGCACTCTGCCGTTACAGTTCTAACTTCTGTTTCGAAAAACGACGTTACACACATTCGCTGCCAGCATAACATGTATTGTTTGACAGTAACAAAATACAATTGACATCTGAACCCCAAACGGAGCGCCACCCACTCAAATTTTATAACCCTGACCGGTCAGGGGGCGAATGGAGGTCATTTCCTGGGCATTACACTCAGCCCTTGCACAAAATATCTCACCTCACAGTGATCATTACAACAATAGCACCGACTTGATAGTGGATTTCAAAGTACTTGCATCAGCTCTTCCTGCTATTGCAGACGATCATCTCCTCAGGGTAATGTTGTTCGGGACATGAACGTCACGAAGATCGTTTTCGGAGTTTCATAAGTGCTACTGCAACAGCCTGGCACAAAACAGGACTTGTACGCTCTTCTCTGCACTTTGCCCTTCAGTATATCACAAAAGAATTGTTTAGAATCCATCTTACGCTTCTTTCACAGTCTCCATAGGCGTAGGAACAGGGGGGGCCGGGGGGGCCATGGCCCCCCCACTTTCGGAGGTGGGGGGGCCAGCAATGTTAACTGGCCCCCCCACTTTTTGCTGACTTAAGTGTCTGTCTGTACCTAACCTACCACCCGGTAACTTGACAACTATTCAGCTTGCCCTTTAATGAGGATTCCTTTTTGTTTCTACAGCGTTATTGACCGCAATTTCCTTCACTCAATGAAGGAAACCATATCAGAGACAAGACTGTGAGTCCTGGTGACAGCATTTTGTTGAATACGAGGCGCGGGACAGCGAGCACTAAAAAGGTATAGGCAATACTAAGACAATACTAGCACGGTGCAGGAGAATGCGTATACAAACGACCAACGCTTGACCTTATCTGCTTGGGGTCGGCATAGTTCGTCAAAGGCGTACTAGCTGGGGGCCAGGGTGACCGTGCCTCAGCCTCGGTTCAAACAGGCTGGGGGCCAGCAATGTCTGTTTCTGCCCCTCCCCCTTCCACTTTCAGTGCAGTGGCGGTCGCAGAGGGGGATCAGGGCCATGCCCTTCCCCCTCCAAAGGCTAATCAGGGGGCCATCATATCATTTGGCCCCCCCAAACAACCAATGGGCCCCCATGGGCGTATGGGGCTCTGGCCCTTATTCGATTGTCAAGAGGCTCGAGAATCCCACGCTAGCTATTAACAGCTCCCAAACCAGTCTTTGAGGGTCCTACACTGATCTCGGAGGGCCCTTCAGTGGCGGTCAAGTGCCCACATTGACCGCTGAGAACCCACATTGACCTCATTTGAGGGCCCCTAAACCGGCCTCAAGGGCCCAGCCGGCGTCTGAGGGCCTCACACCGGCCTCTGGTGGCCTCATTTCTGTCTCTGGGGTCCCAAGACTAGCCTTTAGGTGCCTTTGAGGGCCCCGCACTGAATTCTGAAGACCCGATGCCGGCCTCTAAGGGTCCGCATCGGCCTCTGAGGGTCCACCTTGGCCTAGGGGTCCAACGCCGGCCCATGCCGGTCTTTTAGGGCCCCACACTGACCTCTAAGGGCCCATGCTGACCTGTAAGGACCCACATTAGCCTCTGATGGCCCAAGTCGGCATCTTAAGGTCTCATCTTGCCCTTTGCAGGCCCTGTACTGGTCTCTGAGGGCCTTAACCCTCGCCGGCCGGGGGGGGGGGGCGGGTGCCGCCCCTCCATAGTTTTTTTTTCGCGATAGCTCCGAACACGCCGGCGATAGAGAGCTGAAGCTTGGCATACCTGACCTTTGAATCAAACGGGATCTTTTGACACCAACCGCATTTTCGGGTCAGATCAGGTCACTGACCCATGTGGTCCATAAGTGAACCTCTGCACGGTCTTCAGATGTCGCAACTTCGCAACGCCCTTGCACTGCCAGAGGAGATTTCACAGGGAAATGAACCTTGGAGGACCTAGTATCCAATAGGAGTCTCTCAACTTGTATAATGTAACTATATCTCGGATTTTTCCTAAAGTTCATATGAGGTCAGGTCATTTTCGTGACCTCACCATTAGGTATAAGTCAATGGGGATAAACTGAAAACTTTTCCTGGCGCCGGGAACGATCGATCTCCAACTATCTCAAGCACACCGAATCGTGATTTCATGCACTCCTTGCAAGGTTCGATGCGTCACTTTTGCAATGTTGACCTTGCGCGACGTCATTTATGAAGTTATAAGGGTCTTATTAGTTTTTCGTCAATAACTAGGTACCGATCAAATTGAGCTAGCGAGTCGGGAAAGCCACCTATGGACTCAAGAAGACCTGCCGAATCGAATGATATGCGACATGACCTCCTTCGACCAATTTCGTGACCTGGGGACGCCGACCTGACCGTGACCCGAGGTCAACACCCTAAGTTTACCTCACCCGAACAAAAAGTATATCATTCGACGCGCCTGAGAGAGGCGAACACGATGCTGGCAAAATCGCGGCTCTGCGGCCATTTTTTGCGAAGTTATTCACCAAAAACGGAACCGTGCCTTGAGGCACTTGACCTGACCTCAGAGGTCACCGGTTTTTGTTTGTTTTGTTGGGTTAGGCCCTTTCGGTCCAATGAGACCATTTCAGAGCCGGAAGGATGATAGGATATAGGGGGAGACATTGGTCTGGGCAGGCACCCTAGTGAGTCGCCGGGGCTGAGCCCGTCCAGAGGACAGGCCACCCAGCCCCAAGGCACTCACTGCACCCGGCTACAGGGTGCGCTCCCTCGGGAGCAGCGGTGCCGCTCCAAGGGAGCAGCCCGCATGAGATAAAGTTGCCTGTCCAGCCCGGAGGGGGTTGCGGTGTGGAGGAGAAGGATTTCAGTATCCTGAGGATAGAAGCACGGAACGGTGTCAGAGGTCACCGGTTGACCTAGGACCATAAAATCGGGTATCGATCTCTGCGTCTCGTAACGGCGCACACGCTCGTTTTACCGCGACGCGCTAGCTCCACCTGGGGCGGAACGGCGAGGGGGGTCGTACCCGCCCCCCGCCCCCTCGGCCAGCGCGTATGTAGAAAACTTATAGGACCGGGCCGTGGAGGGTTAAACTGGCCTCTGAAGGCCCAGACCGTCTAAAAGTCCCACACCGGCCTCTGATAAGTGATAGTCAATCAGCCCAGTTGCAGTGGTCGCTGATATAAAACCTCTTAAAAACGTTATAGGCCTGGCTGAGCCTAGCTGGGCCGTTCATGCTGATTTTTATAGGTATATTGAAAAGACTCGCTTTGCACGTTTCACGCTTGCTCGTAATGAAAAAGTTGCTGCATGCCTCTGGAATTTGCATGGGTGCCAACGGCTGCGGAGGACAGGGGAACGCGTCCATCAGTTTGAGTTTATGGACGGGAGACTCCCTGAAATTTCAACCAATTTTTTTCTTTTTTTTTGTCTCGATTTTTTTAAACCTCTGAGCATGTTTGCGAAAACAAAGTGGCCGAAATCCGAGGAGAAATCGGACTTTGGGGGTAGGTTAGGTTTTGGACCTCTGGGACCCTGGCCCCCCCACTTTCGAAAACGTTCCTACGCCTATGACAGTCTCCCTTGCCACCGTAGGGCGTAGATAGATTGCTGTTGCTGGTAAGTTAAGGCACGGTAGATAGAAATTACCTCGGTTCTCAACGCCTTAAGTTATTTTCATAAAAAAGAACAAATAAATGATCAATAAGATGACAGGAATGTAAACATTTTAATCGTAAAGTAGTCCAAATATTGGAATGAGCTTTTGCTTTTCAGCATCCTCCGATTCATCATCTTTATCATTTGAAAATTCGAGGTACATAAAATGTTTATCACGCGCTCATGTTAAAGGGACCCTCCCACCTTCAAAAAAGTTTATGAATTGGCAATGAAGTGATGTCGCTCGGTTCAGAAAGAGCGAAAACGAATATCTACCAAATTTCACCGAAAAATATTCACCGGTTTTCAAGATATTAGACTTTTACTTTTGTTTACTTTTTTGGGATCTCCGCTGTTTCTAGCGACTTTATTTTAGAAGTGCGGCGTTTGCGGCAGATGTTGCGCGCAAATAGCATATACCACCGCGTGCTACAAAACGTTTTAGTCAAACATTTAAAAATCGTTAGATATCTGCGCTGACGTCACACATTCAGAGGGGTATCCCTAAGCATTAGCCCCTCTGAATCAAAATGCTGCAATTTTGAAATTCAATATTTCCGATTTAAGGCATTTCTCGATGTTGTGAGTGCCGAAACCGGTAATTGTGAGCCAGGGACCCCATTTTGGCTATCTCAACTCAAATCTAATGTTAAGGTGGGAGGGTCCCTTTAAGTGGGAATATAGTACACGGCAGACACATCAATTTTTGACACTGAACATTTCATCCGTAAATGTTTTAGCATAATTTAAAGTTAAAAACAGCGCGAATGGCAGAGTGAAGCAAACAACATCTTTCACCCATTGATATAACATGTAATCCGTGGTGCGCCAGATGCGCCATTATTTGTCAACCGCAGAAGGTGACATGTGACGTAACAGCATCAAGAGCATCTTTTTTCAAGAACTTTTCAAAACAAGTTTTCTATCTTTCTTCCCCCATTTCTCTCAGCTTATTGATTTTATGAGGCAATGGTATGCACCATAAATTCTGTGAAAATAGTTTGATCATTTTCATGCATTCTTAAAAAATCGAGTTCCCAACCCCATTGTTGGCAACAACACAAAATCGATAACTAATCGGCAGAAGCATTGCGTTCGCCGGCCAAGCACTCAAGAAAAGCTGCTACAGCTAAACAAGCCAGCGAAGCCGCGGAGCCTTCGAGTCGGCGCTACCTACCAACCGCGTCAGCTCAGCCTGTCTGTCCTGACGTCACACATCAAAGACGTCCTGTTGCCATTCTGACGTCACTCACCCTCCTTGGTGGGCAGCACCACCTTCTCCACGGTCTCTGTGTGCTTCAGCTTGTCGGCGCTGAAGCCCTCCAGCTCGGATTTCACGGTGGGCGACACCTTGGGCAGGTCCTTCAGCGTGGGGCTGGTCGGCGCGGCCATCGTCAGAACCTGCAACAGAAGAGATAAGACACTCAGTGGACAGTTAACAGAAAATCACATGGCCTGTCAAATTCAATGCGAGCATAAGAGATAAAATATCGTGATTTTTTAGTGATTTAAAAACTTATGAAAGTATCGTGCAGTAACTTCAGGAGTTCAAAGTGGAAGGTGTGTTTGTCGCTACCTCGTCAATAAGCAAATAAAGGTATCTAATCAGAAGCCATTCATGAGTGAATCGGACCGAGTTGGATAAGGTATGCATTATGCAATATGCATAGGGCTGGCATGAAAACACCCTATAACAAGCAATATGTAGTATGCAATGTGCATGCTCAGTGCTCTGAAAAACATATATCCAGCCGAGATATAGTTATCCGCATCACGTCTGATACGGACGCTCGGAAGTCGGGTAATTCTGCGGCAGTCTGACGTCTGGGTGGTAACAGAAACCACAACATTTCCCATCTCCTCCCCTCTCACTCCCGCCACTCTCTCCACTCTCCCTGGCGCCCCTGGGCCGACCGCCACAGACTATGGGCCGTGGGATAACGACGACGCCGACGGCCGGGGAGCAGACTGACGGTGAATGCCGAGACTTGGCCGAGACTCCCTCGCCGCTCCACTGATCTCGGAGAGGTCGGGGACCGCCGGCCAGACGGACCGGACTCTCAGACACGGGCCGAGATCGGGTGCGATGGCCTCCGATTCAGAGGGAGAGGTGGAAGGGATGGGCCTCCTAGCAGTTACGGGACGTCGCGCTGACTGGCGAGTGACGACAGCCAAGCGGGGAGGAGAAAAACTGGAAGCAAATTGAAGTCGATTCGCCTCCTTTGGTGACTAAGAAAGGTACAAATATCGGGCATGTGCGCGATGTTAAAATTTATACATTGTTTATAAAACTAAACAATCTTAGGTAAGTACCACTGCAGTTCCTACAATCGACCACAATTCCAGTTCTCGGAATCGACAGATAGTCAATCAAAGCTCAAACTGGTCGGAGCTAGAAGAGCCCCTAGCTCCACAGAATACCAATGGCCGGGTCGCCCGGGCCGCCCTGCAGGTCGCTGGGGACGCTGCCGTGCCCGGGGGCCCCGTACCGCTCAGGTGCCGTCTGTGGATGCCGCTGCGGCGGCTGACTCAGAGGCGCCGGTCAAAGGTCACGGCTGGGGGAGCGGCGGGTCAGCCGAGGTCACGGACCAGCCAGAGGGACCGACCGGGAGGCCCGCACCACCGCAGTGGAGGTTTCAGAAGAGTGAACGTTTGAAAAGCTCGGTTATTCGCAAAAAAAAAGTCGCGGAAGCTACATCATACTAAGATATATTTCTCAACTCTATGTGAAACTTCAGGTGAAATACGCAATGCGGATATTTATTCGGCCAATAATTTCAATCAGTAGAAAGGTATTTGCAAGCCAACTTTTTGCAACAACTATTTGCAGGCACCACTCCTCTTCCTTTTGTGTCCCGGCCATGTCAGCACCAGTCCTGCTCGGCGTTTGTCGTCTGAGCCATTACTGTCGGTTCTGCAGCCATCGCCACCACTCACCACCGTAGTGGTGACCTCAGAGGAGGTCATAGGGAGCGTTCTGTGTCTGATATCAACAACCCTCCGGCAACCCTCATCACCCCTCTGTGAAGCCACGGACCAGGCTGCAGAAGCTGAACGGAGACGAGAGAAAGAGAGAGAGAGAGAGAGAGAGAGAGAGAGAGAGAGAGAGAGAGAGAGAGAGAGAGAGAGAGAGAGAAAGAGAGAGAAGAAAAAAGAGCAAGAGGCGCACCAGCTGTACCAGAAGCCGGGTTGTAAGCATACATATGACCCGAGGTCACCGTTAAAAGGGCGACGAAAATGAGGCGTACAAAAGCAATCCCAGCCACAGTACACAATCACTTATTTGCCATAACATAACGCTGAATAACGATGATTGGGTGATGGGCCGAATGGTGCATTGCATGAGCAACAGAAACAAAGACTGCATGGCAAGAAATGAAAAATGGCCGGAGATACCAAGCAATTTCAACCGAAATAACTATTCCAGTAAGATGCAAGGACGATAAATGTTGTCTTAGCGTCCTATGATGTGTGTGATGTAGGTAAAAAAAAACATGATAAACGTTTCAATTTCAAGCAATTGATTATCGCTACACGGTTCAATACTTTGTAATACGATTTTAAGAAGCTTGTAATTATATTTTGTTATTATAATCAAAATACAAAAGCGGGTGTATTAAGATCTACTCATGCTCACATCAGCGATTAACTCAGTACATATGGCTGGCAATTTGCGATGCGCTTTGGTAGCGACAATGCCCAATTTTCAACCACATTACGGAGGACACGTGTGTCGGTTCCACCTCAAATACCATCTCTTACCCAATACCCAACCGACGATGTGCGACCTTGAGGTATGGGGCCGCCTGGCCGACTTCTCATCACCTTGCCCTTCCTACTACCCCTCCCCCCCCCCACACACACAAACCGTCTAACGTCCTCAACAATACCACGTCTCTCTTCAGATCGAGCTTGGACCAAGTCGCTTTTCCGTTAGAGCCGGATCTGCAGCAGTGTATCGGCCCATTCCTTATCTTTTCCGTTGACGGAAGCCAGTCCGAGTTTCTTATCACAGCTACCGAATAGCGCCTTGGCGTTTCGCCTAGTCTCCGAAGGAAAAAAGCGATCATGTGTGGATGTTCAGGGGTGTGGATGTGGACATGTGGACGTGGAGATGAGGCAAGTGGACGTGGGAATTCCTGGGAGTTGCGACGATGGCCGTTCACAAGCTCGCGGCGAACGGTGGGGGTGGGATCGGTCAGGCACGTCGTGGGAAATTTTGGTAGTACGTGCCGGAGCGCAGCTAACGGATCGGAGCAGCCATGGGAGCTTGTTAGCGGTCTCGGGCCCCAAACTCGTGGAATGACTCGGTAAAAGTGCTGTGAAAACTGAAAGGTAGCTTCTGTTCTGTTAGCGGCATCGGGCATACTCAAGGCGACCACTGCAGTGCCGTGCATTGTATGCTTTTTATAGGGCTCGGCAATGAAGTCAGTAAGGATTACCTGTGCATGCCTGAAACTGCAGTGTCCAATGCCTATGCTCTTTAGCAACGAAAGCGAATCATAATGGTTAGATTTACTCAAAAATTGTGTATGTCCTTTTCATTTTTTTAAACATCCGAATAAACCTGAAACCGGTGCAGATCATCAAATACCGCCCCAAAGCTGGGCAGCATCAGTCCCCACCCCACCCGCTAACGCGGCTGTCAGCGGCTGCTGACATACCGACTGCTGACATCTGACAATCTGACGCCCTTCCGCCGAGCACGCGCCGCGCTGTCAGCGTCCCGCATCCGGCGGATGTTCCGCCCGTACAGCGGACGGCAGACTCCACACTCCACCTCCAGATCCACAGTCCTGCATTCCGCCGGCCGCGCGCCGAGCGCCAGCGGCCCCGGTTCCATCCCGGCCGGTCCGGCCAGTGTGGTAAGCCCGCCTCGCAGTCTGGCCTAACTCCGCGGGCGCGGCCCAGACGCCGACAGAGCTCCTATCACAAGTCCGCTCCGCCACGGGGCCGCTTCAGCCAGCGAGAGTCTGTATTAGTCGAGTCGCTACCTGCATGACAATCATCCTTGCATTGTCGGGATCTGCAAACTAACATGTCTGGTCTGCATCAGAATTGGGGGGTCTGAGGCCAGCCCGCAGTGGCGATAGGCTAGAAAAGGAGCGGAGAGACACACCGAGCTGACCCATGACGTCACGTCGTCATGGTAACGACCCGAGTGACTAAGCACGATTTCGGGACGAAGACGTCAACCAAGTGCATGCGCCTGTTTCTCCAAGAACGAATGCAAATGCCAGGACCCGGTCGATATTGTCTAGCTGGAGCCGATGTGTGCCAGCAGCAGCAGTACGTGCTGTTGATTGCAATCAGGAGCGTGAAGCAGATCTGCCATCAGAAGTCAGGTCTGTAGTCGAGCCCCCGCAGCGGTCCAGTTAGCCGAGGTAGACGGGTTATCCACCCGGTCAGCCACACCCTGAGCCTCCTCTCGCCCGGGCCCCTCCGGGCCGAGCAGGTGACCACACCTGCATTAAATCACCGCGACTGGGTCACCGTGTGTGTCAGACAGCTGGGCCGCCGTGGTTCGTATGGAATCGATGAGTCGGTGGAGCTGTATTAGCGCCATCCAAATAATTCCGATTTTCTGACTGTGTCCGATGTCAGCGAACGAAATGAATGCAATGCAACGAGTCATTTAAAGTTCACTATAACGTAAGCTGGACATTGACAATGCCTATATGGCCTATGGAATGCCAAACGTTTAACAACTATGTCTATTAGCTTGACGAGAAAAGAAAGCAATCGACCCAATCAGGCATAGCTTTACATATAGGAGCTAGTAATTTTAGCTTTACATATATGAACTATAGTAATAGTAATATTTAGTAATATTACTATTATTATTATTATTATTATTACTATACTACTATCATTAATATTATATATATTAATATCATATTATTAATATTAATATTTAGTAATATTTTTTTCAAAACCGTGACACTTTTTTTTAAACACTCTGGTAAGGAAGGACGCTGATGTAACCCTGGGACAGCAATTAGACCCGGAGACTGCGAGGACGCAACAATGCCATCTGAACGATCAGAAGATAATTGACCGTTCTCCATCTCCCATCCAACAACAACTAATGGTTTGCGTTTCTCAGCGGTAAGGGGCGAAGCAGCGCGGATGAGCACGCCATGGGGACTTAACACTCACCAAGTCAGCTGTTCTTCCCTCGATCACTGAACGTTCACCTTCACCACCACTGAGCGCCTCAGGCACCGGTCGGGTGGGGTCAGGTCAGACGTCTGAGCCGCCTCGAGGCACCAGCGTCCTTATACCATTACAGTTCGGACAGAGTTGGCTCAAACTCACAAACTCACGCCAGCGTCGGTAGCGCCACAGCGACTCGTCACGGCCTCATTGGCAATCAGACAAAGCACGCCAAAGTGCCAAAGAACGCGAGGGAAAGCTCGTTGTCGCGCGCTTTTTGTGACGTTTTTGCAGCTCGCGGACTGGGACGCTGTGGGGTAAAAACTGTCCCGCGGTCGGGAGAAGAAGCGCGGTCACGCGGGTCGGACCGCTCGCAGACGTCCGGCTGTTCAGCACCTCCCGTGGGCGGGGTGATTTACTGGCCGAGAAGAGCATAGAGAAAACAGAGCGACAGGCTGACGGGAGAGTCTCTGTGGGCTGGCCTATTGGCACGGCATTTACTGTTGCCGAGGTGAGTCAAGCTCGCGACATACTGGCTAACATGCTTTGTTTGTCTCCGTGCATTACCATTATGAATGCGAATGCTATAAATCAATGTCATTTTCATTCGGATGTAACGCTGCAGTGTCGGCTGTGGATTAAAGGCAATGAATGAATGCGAATTTCCTTTTCTATGGCTATTTCCTCTGCATTTGAATCGCAAATAGCGTCAGCTAAAATTCCGAACTAGAATCCAGATAGAGACGCGCGGCTCTTACTATCTTCCCCCGGCGCGTGACAGACACGGAATTCCTCGCGTGAGCCTCCATTGTTTGCAGACCGAACAGAGGGCTACCCCGCTCGGCGACAAAAACAACACCTGCCAGCAACGAGGTTGCACCTCTCTCACCACGCAGAATCGTCTACTGTGACGGCTGAGGTCCAGAACGTCACGTGCCACGTGCTACTCGAAAACGTTTAACTACTTGAACGAGTGACAGACCAAAATATAGGTAGTTATTTTTAAAGGTTCAGACAAGAGCACTCCGATTTAGAGTGAAAATTAGACCAAGTCACCAAAATAGACACGTTCATACATAAATATAGCGGGCTGAGGCCCCTAAAGCCTCCACATCTGATGCGGCGTGCGGTATGTTAAAACGAAAGGTTTAGTGAAGTGCCCTTTGACCCCTTTGACCTGCAGCATGGCACAGGTCCCACAGGTGCGCCAACAGTAGCACCTGAGCCCCGACACACCGCTGCAGCATTTACAATGTGCATTACGAATCGTCGACAACGTGACTGCACAAGCGGAAGCACGGACTACGCTGCTGGCTTTGTTTGGATAACTACGCACGAGTCGAATTCATGTGAATCCGCGGCTGTGCACGTTCGGACAGATGACTGTCAAAGATATCGTGAAATTTGGTATGGTGAAAAGTGTGACATTCAACGTCCATAAATTGAATTTTCCGTCAGGTCTTCCCTCTTGTCTTTTGTTTGGGATAAAAAGAGCGGAAATATTTTCCCAAATTATCCTATAACAGAAAGTGTGAGAAGAATTAATTCATAAAACTTCATTCACTAAACAAATAAAAAGACCAAGGCAGAATCGATGAACTCATCATTCACCGCTGATGCCAAGGCAAAAACCGTATATCTAACAAGTAACATCGATGCTGCCTGCGATAAGGTTTGTCCAAGACGAAGCTACGAGACGAAGCATAATTAGACTGAGCTATGTGTGTTTTGCATCGCTTCTTTGCCTTATCTAGATAATCAGCATCCGTCTTTCGGAAAAAGGGACGTTTTGTCTAAAGATGACTAAAAAAAATATCGAATGGAAACTAAAACATTTATAACATACATCTTACCCACACCCGATAAAGATGATAAGATAGCACATTATCATTATTCCAGCATTTGGGTACAAAACGTTTTGTACTCTGAAAGACCAGCCGAGCATTTCCCAACAAACGTAGGTATAACGCCTTGGGTATAACCGTCGGGCGGCGGCTGGCGCGGAACCATAGGGATCGGAGAGGAATGTCGGTTCGGGCTGTGTCAGACAGCTTTCTCTGGCGTTCGGAGGTGACCTCTGCTGACCTCGGCGGCGTTCGGAGGTGACCTCTGCTGACCTCGGCGTCGGCCGCCGCTCTCAGTCGGCCTCTCGTGATAACCTCGGGTGACCCCGGAGCCGTCAGAGCTAGCAACAAAGGTGTGTTCGGGTGTCACCCTGAGGATGAGCCAGGCCTGAATGCCTTTCGTGATCTCAAATGCAGTTGAGAAAAAATGTGCTTTTCAGATATAATCATAGGGGAGAGCGGGGCCAGTTGAACCACTTTTTATATATTGACATGCACAGCGAGATCTAGTTGTCATATCGAAAAATGCACAATGCCATGAAAAAATATGCTCTTTTGGCTTCATTTTAAGATATGTAAAATTATGTTTCAAACATATTTTGGTGCCAAACGCATGCTTATAAAACAGCTCTACGCCCGTTTCAAATGACCCCGATGCGAGGGTCAATTGAACCAGCCCATGGGGTCAATTGCACCTATCCTTAACAATGGGCTGTTTTCCTCTTTAAGGCCACTTTCTTAAGGAGATATTTTGTCCGGTTTACTTTTCCAAATGCTACATTCAATAGGTCGTTGGAAAGCTAAAAGTGCAAAGTTCCTCATAATAGGTGACATAAAGTACATAGACTATGGTAAAATGGGCGGATGAGGATAATGAGAAATATCTCAGGCTATAGTGTGCTTTCAAGCAAAAGGCTGGAGAAAAAGAGGTCAAAAAATGAGCTCTATTAATCTACTATTTGAGTTTAAAAGCTCATTTCAAAGGTGGACTATTTCCTTTAATGTTTACAGCCCCTGAACAATAACCATTGCAAAGGTTACCGGGGTCCATTGAAACGGCCTGTGGCCCTGTTTCAACTGACCCTCAGAGAAGCGTTTCAATTGACCCCATCCGCTCCCGCCATCTCGCACGCGCCGTAAAGCACATGTCAAACGAGCTGGAGGGACGACATCATGCTGAATGAAGGGCCAAATAAGGTGTTATTCCGGAGCCAGGAGTTCTTCTTTCAGCAAACAAAGGTATATGAGATATCACAAAATACTCATAAAAACGATTTCTCCCAAACGCCCCTCAAAAACACAAAAACAAGTGTCAAATCAAAATTACCGTCCGTTTGCCGCCCAAACGCCGTTGACAAAGGAAGTGGTCGAGCGCGGATGCGCAGTGGTGTCGGCAACGCCATATGTTGCATACTGTTGAAAATAAAGCCATGTTTCATCTGACCCCGTGTTTCAACTGGCCCCGCTCTCCCCTAATGGTTAGGAAATGAATTTAAGTTATCAAGTAAAAAGCAAAGGTATATGCAATTATACTTCTAGCACTTGTTTAATGCTGAGAAAAATGCAATTATATCCCGTTAACATAAAATCTTCATCTTCATCTTCATTAACAAATCAACATCTTCTTATAAACAAATCTTGTTTAATCGCCAACCATAGCTAATAGCTGTAGAGTAGTGAAACTTGCAATCAAAATAAACCATTATTTTTGGCATAATGAGTCAAAGCAAAAACCAGGCGATAAGAAAGAGTATCTTAAAAACAATCCAATGGGAAATTTTCATTGACCAAAGTCAACCTTCACCAGTCCGATTCACTCGTCCACCATACATTGACACAGACGCGACAGATATCTCTTTGTTGGCAATCGGTGTTCACCGAAGCCTGTTTGGGCTCCACGAGCTCTGACCTTGACATTTGCCCCGACACAAAAAGGTCGCCAAAAGTCGGCTTCATAAAGCAGCCTCGTAACTCGTGGTATCATAAACAGTATTCAGAAACAATGCAAGGCCATGTGAAAAAATATAAAGTTGGAACAGTTAATAAATATTTCATTAATTAGTATTAATGCACTTGCTAACATAAATGACCGATAGAAGACGTTTCGTTATGTAATGAGGATGGACCTTTTAAATCTCAAATTTTAATCGAACAAATGGATAAAGGCGCCCTAAGCATTTTACCAAGTAACGCATGGGGCCTAAATTTAGTTGGAGTGATATCATCGCCGAAGCTATCGGTTTTCTACATTATACCGGCTGAGATGGGGAGGGGGGAAGCCAGGAAGTGGAACTGGAGCCCCTCCCGTTTCGCCGTTACGCCCCCTAATTGAGATATTCCACCTAATTGAGCTAGAACCTCGCGGAAAAGCAAGCAACGTTACAAGACGCAGCGACTGGTACCTGATTCTAAGGTATCAGGTCTATTGGTGACCGGTCACGACAGGTCAGGTCACGTGCCCCAAGGTGTACCTAGGTTCGGTTTTTATAAATAACTTTGTCAAAAATAGCCCTAAAGCAGCAATTTTGGCACCATTATGTCTATCCTGTTCACGTGCGTCCAACAGCATGCTTGCAAAAGGTCTTGACATCAGGTCACGGCCTCTCAGGTCACTAAGCTGGTCGAAGGAGATCATATAACACACAGTGGATATAACATATAACTCGATCCCAAATGTCTTTCTTAGTCCACTGAAGGGTCGGAGAGACCTAAATTGCACCGGCAACGAGGTCAGCAGGCGCTCATAGTAGAGGAGAACATAAAATAAAATTGGACCTAAGCGTATCGAAAGAGCCACAATCGATGGTTGGATGTCTCATTTCTTTGAACTGCACTGCCGCAGGTTTTGTGTTGAGATAAAAAGATGGGCGTTAAAAAAGGGGCCATGGCCCTAATGTTCACTGCCCTGCAATCATTTGTAGCGTTGCCCATGCATAGCACAGGAAACCAAACCAGTTCATTTTGTTTTCGCCTGGTCAGCTCTTACCCACTCATTGAACCATACAAATGCAATAAAAAGGCACATACAACACACCGACATTCCCGCACCCAAACTCACCTCGATGAAGCGATATCAGCACGAAAACAGCAGCAGCAACAATCAGCAGTCTCCGCGCACCCAACCCTCACAATCCACTCTGAGCACTGACACGCCCAGTCCGGCCCGCCGCCTGCTAGCGCGGGCGACCCGGCGATACGGGGGAAGGGAACGCTGATCGGCACACCAGCCAATCAGCGAGCCGGAGCCGGAGGCCGGCAGCGGCTCGCGCGAGCTCGTGCCGCCGCCCGCCGCATGGCTGTAGCCCCCGGCGGTCTACAGGCACCGGAAGACGGTGGGGTGGATAGGGAGGGAGGATGGGTGGGTGAGGTGGAATTTTGGTGGCGCTGGATGACAGTGAACGGCCCAGGAGTTACAGACCTAGCCGAAAATAAAGTGGAATTTTTTGTTTATTATCATTAGGTCCTATTGGAACTTGAAACTCGCCTCCTCTGCAGTCAACAGAGCCTGAACATCACACTTAAAGGTTTAAAAGTTTAAAAGTTTTGTAGTCGCAAAAGTTTTGGCTCGATTATGAAATGCATGAATATTTACGAGCTCCGCACATCGGTCACAGCTCACGTTTCAAGAACTACCGAACTACTCAATGCCTACTTAAAATAGATAAGATACTCTTCACTTCTACAAGCTACACTAATGGCTGAATAAGTGTGGATAGACGCTGGTAGCCGACGACCATTGCAATGATCGGTTCCTTCTCTGCACCTAAGTGCTAGATAGTAGGGGAAGTTGGGGCAATGCCGGAGTTGGGGCAAAGCCGAAATTCGAGATATTTCGAAAACCGTAAGATATGGATGCCACCTGTCAGTGATGCTCTGATTCTCTGACTACAATTATCGCATGTTTGTTACGAGTCGTCATTCGGAATACTTCGACTGTGAGGGCGCCAAGAGCGTTTTCAAGGTACGTTTCCCTTGTACTACATGCGCCTTTGAAGCTGCATTTCTTACTCATTATGCTACCGTTTGTCTGGCCAATTCGGTCAAGTAATCTTTAGCATGTCTTTGCATAAGTGTGCTGCCTATTTGAAATTTATACAGCACGTTGAAAAGTTATGGGCCTGCAAATGAAAGTATGGCTGGCTGGGGTAATGCCGAAAACGTGCGATTACGCACGTGTTAAAAGCACGCTACTGTAGAATAGCAACGCGTATTTTTAGTCAAACAAATTACACTTTCAGCCGACACAACGGCCTGTTACCTATAAGGAATGATTTACCTGGCATTTTCTTATTATATCACACAATTATAACTTCCAGTGTGCACCGCGTCCTCAAGCTCTTAAAACGCGTGTCAGCTTTGATGAATTCTGGATAAAGTTTGAGATAAAATGGCAAAACATCAATGTCGGCATTCCCCGTAGATCATTTCTCCCATTTTCGGCTTTCCCCGCAGTCCGGGGCAACGCCGAAAAAGTCACTTGTTTGATATTTTTAGTTTGTGCGCTTAACGGTATGCAAATTCATCAAATGCGCCTGGTATGTTTGAAAGGCAAAAGACTGGCCTCTCGAATGACGCCAACAAGAATAGCTTATGTTGTCTACCTTGCGTGCTACGGGCGTCAGAAAAAAAGTCTTCGGCGTTCCCCCAACTTCCCCTACCGATTCTATCCAGCACTCGGGTACAGGTCTAGATGTACCTACGGTAACTAGAGCAGATGACTTATCAGTGGTGTCTTCTCCCAGGCAGGACTCTTTGTTTGTTTGTTTTGTTAGGTTAGGCCCTTTCGGTCCAATCAGACCATTTCAGAGCCGGAAGGATGTGAGGAGTTAGGGGGAGACATTAGTCTGGGCAGGCACCCTAGTGAGTCACCGGGGCTGAGCCCATCCCGAAGGACAGGCCGACCAGCCCCAAGGTACTCACTGCACCCGGCTACGGGATGCGCTCCCTCGGGAGCAGCGATCCCGCTCCAAGAGAGCAGCCCGCATGAGATAAAGTTGCCTGTCCAGCCCGGAGGGAGTTGCGGCGTGGAGGAGAAGGATTTCTGTATCCTGAGGATAGAAGCACGGAACAGTGTGGCAGGACTTGGACGGTTCGGTGCTTTATGGTTCGGTGGCTCAGGGTGCTCGTCACTTCGTCAATGCTCGTAGGTGGCGCTGGCGTCGGGTCCCTTCTCCGGGACCACCTCGACTGTGGCTGAGGGCGTGCGGGCTCGTATGGTGGCGCTAGTGAGCGTTACCTTCTCTGCAGTCGGCTGGACAGCTGCTGTGGGTAGGTAGGTGACGCCACTGGTGGTGGCCAGATTCCCATTTTATCCGCTGTGCCTACTAGCATTTGTTAAATTTGTGTTCTTATGTCCACTGCTCAGCTCGTGAAGAAACAATGCTATTACGACGCATAAAACTTATTTACGCTAGAAGTGGAATTTAATGCGAGTCTGATACAAAGATTGGTGAGCTTGTGCCACTGCCCTTGTTTGGAATTCTAACGATTGATGTCCTTATCGATCACATAAGACAGCTCGAATCAATAATGCATGGTGATCGATATTTTTCGACAGCAAAACTTCTGTTATCAGTCGCCGTGCACAGACAGATCGAGCTGTAGGACGCGATCTAATCACCGCATAAGCTTTCCATATTCAATCCTGTTCGGGACTCGGGAGAGACGATGCGCGGAAGGGGTTATCCGATTCAACATTCAGTCACTTTGATGTCGATATTCTAGTCATATCTGATTCACATTTGTTTTCAGAGACCTATGTATCGCAGGGTTAGAAATGCATCCAACTACAAGACTACAGGCTCGGTGAGTTGATTTCCAAAAGATCGTGCCGAAGGACGGGAAGAAGCTCAAGATAGACATCTTTCAGCGTACGTCGGTCTCTGCGAAGATAAGACGCGGCGACGCAAGTCTCCATATGAAGCTGCTGAATCAAAGACAGTAAAAAAAAAAAACAGTTCCATTTGCATCGTTGGCTGGCCGCCATTCCACCACTGGCACTGTCTACCAACAGCAAAAGTCCGTCGTCTACCGTCCATCGTTCCACCGTCCACCGTCCCCCGTCCATCGTCCAGCGTTCACCGTTCACCCACGGTACCTACATAAAACACTTGTTCACCGTATATACGAGTGTTTATTGCGTTCACCGTACACCGTCTACCGCCCACCGTCCAATTTTCATCGGCCACCACCCAACGTCCACCGTTTACCCTTCTACCGTCAACTGTCCATCGTTTTCGATTCACCGTCCACCATCTACCTGTTCACCCATCAAACTGCACTTTCATTCACTGCCCATGTCTTTCACCGTTCATCGTCTTCCACCACCCCCATCCACACCGGTAGTGCCAGTCAGCTGTTGCTCTAGTTTGCATCTCCAGCCGCAGCCAAAAATAATCCGGGCCCGGCGGAAGGTGCTCGAGCCGACTCGGCGTGGTGCCGCGCCGCGTGGCACTCCGTCGGTAACGACGACCGGTGTGCAGTGTCGGTGCCGACGAAACGCGGAAGTGGTAGAAACTTCAAGAACGAACTGTCAACTGGGATTGTACATAAAAGGTCAGCTGTGCGGATCAAATAAAAGAACCCGAGAAGCGGAAATAGAGCAAGACGTGTAGGTGACGGGAATCGTCGCATGCCCAGAAAGCAGGTGAGGATTGATACAGCAGGAGCAAAACAGTTTCCATGTAGTTCAATATGCATCCATGCATGTATTGCATGCATGGAAAGTAATTTTTAGCAGCAGAGCTGCTTCGTCGTCCCTTCTTTTCGCTTCAGCATTCCTTTTTGTTTTGTTAAAACTTTTTTAATCAATGGATAAAAGTAAGACATGACTGGTCATCGGTTCGAAGTTTCTTGAAAGAAGTAAATTTGAAAGTGTACACTGTACCGGTATTAGGTATAAGATTAACACATTCGCCTATAAGACTGTATCTCGCCCTACAGGCAACCATGACATCAGACACCAATCCCAGCAAGAACTCTGGCTCCGCTACCAGTGGAAAGAAGCGAGGCAAGAATGCCAAAGGCGGCGCCGGCAAGGCAGCTAACAAGACGGTCTCGTTCAGTGCCAATCCCGATCCACCAGCCCAAGCGCCGGTGAATGGGGCTTCAAACGGAGACGCTCCCGTACCTGCGCCTAATCCGGCCTCGACAGAGACTGCTGGTGATGTGACCTCTAGTGCTTCTGATCCTGGAGACGCCACTGCGACAGCCTCGCCTTCTGCTGGATCCAGTGATGGTGCTGCTCCCTCTGACGGTGCTGGAGACGCTGCCGGTTCCCTTGACGAACCAGGGCAGGTCACGGAGGCAGACAAAATGGCCATCGCAAAGGCTGGATACAAACGTCTCTGTAGTGATGCCACACTACAGACCAAGAAGGACGGCTACTTTCGAACATTCGACTCGCAGGTAAGTGAATGACGAGCGTATCTAGGGCTGAAAATTTACAGAGACCAAACCCCGCTAGGTGAACCCGGCCCTGGCCGTCTCTCACTTAGATCGATGACCGTTGACCGCAGAGGACCTGGTCCGATCATCGCTCTAAACTCGTTTGGTCGTGCATAGATCGATTCAAATTATGCCATAAACTTCTTTAGTAGTTGTGTTGTATAAAGCGGTTCTTCAGAAACAAAAATGGTGCAACAATGCAATGCAATATAGACGGTGATTTGATCAACGCCAATTTTCAACAAACAATGATATTTCATGCCTACTTAGTAATTGAAGTAAAGATGAGGCATATATACAATAATTATTTGCTTTGCACTAGAATTCTCACCTAATCTTGTTTTACCAGGTGCTACAGAGTATTCCCGAGGAGAAGTTTGAAGAGTTCAAAAAACTTACGACAGACATGGAAAGAATTTTCTTCGTTTGGAACGTTCCGACGGTACATTCTACAGTTACGGTAAGTTATTGAGGAGAAATAGACGAGAAAACGAGAAGAGAGAGAGAGAGAGAGAGAGAGAGAGAGAGAGAGAAAGAGAGAGAGAGAGAGAGAGAGAGAGAGAGAGAGAGAGAGAGAGAGAGAAAGAGAGAGAGTGAGACAGAGAGAGAGAGAGAGAGAGAGAGAGAGAGAGAGAGAGAGAGACAGAGAGAGAGAGACAGAGAGAGAGAGAGAGAGAGAGAGAGAGAGAGAGAGAGAGAGAGAGAGAGAGAGAGAGAGAGAGACAGAGAGAGAGACAGAGAGAGAGACAGAGAGAGAGACAGAGAGAGAGAGAGAGAGAGAGAGAGAGAGAGAGAGAGAGAGAGAGAGAGAGAGAGAGAGAGAGAGAGAGAGAGAGAGAGAGAGAGAGAGAGAGAGAGAGAGAGAGAGAGAGAGAGAGAAACAGAGCTAGCTTGTTTTGTGTGAACCACCGACATAAAATCAGTAGTCAAACCCTTCTGTGTAGCACAAGCGACGTTTCAAAGGGCATACACAATACACATGTTTCATGTAATTACGTACACAATAACACACCACCCCACAGGTGAAGCCGTTCTCTCGGAAGAAGTCCGCCACGCACGCCGAGCGGGAGAAGGAGTGCGGGAACCGCCACTTCAAGGAGAAAAAGTACCGCCAGGCCGTGTGTAGCTACAGCCAGACCGTGGTACGGGCGCCGCAGCCCGGCGATCCAGACGCTGGTAAGGCAACATGAAGTGCGAACAGATGGTCATGCAAGCTGGTTGTGTTAGTGCATGACTATCTACACGGGAAGAATGAAATAATTAGGTGTCATTTTCGCATATGTTGACATATGTGCGCCAGTGCTTTACTCGTTGGAGCCGGGAGGGGTCATATCGACTCGACACCTTTTTTTTAAACCCCACATCTGCTCTCCCGTGAATTTCCGGGAGGCACGAAAGATCTCCTTTTAAAAGTGTCCAATCGTCCGATTCTGATCAAATATGTGTGTTCGTAGGCCTGTTCTGGTATTGCTTTATCTACCAAGACAGACAAACTTGAGAAAAATCGAGTGATTGTACCTTTTTTGAAGGTCTCTAACCAACTTGTCTGAAATTCACCGGAGAACAAATGTGGGGTTTTAAAAAAGGTGTCGATATATGACTTGCAATTCCCATTTAAAGGTAGTGTGCCAGCTTTCTTGGACCGTATGGAGTTAATGGCCCAGATAAGGAGAACCGGATTTTTAGAACTTATCCATGCCTTCAAAACTCATGGAAACGTCTTAAATTCTTCAAATTTTGAGTACCCCAGTGCGAAATTCGCCCCGACGGGTTGTCGGTCGTACCCCAACCACATTTCACACCACTATGAACAATAAATGCACACACTGAAATCGCTATTACCGATATGCTCATCCAATCAAGTTTCAATAAACCCGTTCATCATCATCTCCTGCGGTTTCGAACACGCCTGTTAGGTGGCTTCTGATGCTCGTCGAGGTCGGAATTTCCAAATACGCGTGGTGCGTCGGGCCGCGCGCTCTGACTTCGGCCAAGAAAAATGCGTCAGCTGATCATTGTCATTTCTGCCACTTGCGTGTGGTGAAATGGGGTCATAACTTATAAGACGGCTTTTTCATATCAATTATTTTACATAAAATCATATTTCAAACCATAAATAATGTTCGACAGCCAAATAAAAGAAACAATACCAATACGGGCTTACAGTTTAAGGCTCGACATTGTGTTGTCTACGATTAGACAGCTGATAACTCATTCCCGTACGTCGTATGGTCGTAACACTATAATGACCTTTGCTTATTGTCACAAGTGCGCCGCATTCGCGATTGTTGCCCGACGCCTGTTTGCAGGTGAGCCCACTACAGTTGCTATACATATCTAAAAACCGAAAAACTTTTAGGCGAAAAAGGCACTATTCCAGGCCCATTTTTGATTTTTTTTTGTGATATTATGTAAAAACAGAAGCTTCTTATCCTAGGAAAAATAAAATGGGAAATCTTTCAAAGGTGGCACACTACCTTTAAGGTTTCAAACCTTCGGATGTTGTTTGCTTTTTATGTAATTTTTATTTGCATTTATTTGTTAGCTTAGTTCATGTGCCTTGGCCTTTGCAAAGCTACGTCTACCAAGTACCATCCCAATGTTTTGATAAACTGAACGGCGGCTCGAAGCTTGGAATATGTCTTTCAAATCATCCTGGCCGTTTCCTTTGTATCTGACAGGCGACATCCTCAGCGTGGGCTACGCGAACCGCTCGGCGGCTCTGCTGCACATGGGAGAGTTTCGGCTGTGCCTGCAGGACATTGAAGCAGCGCTGGGTGCCGGCTACCCCGCCCGGCTGCGGTACAAGCTGCTCGACCGGCGCGCCACCTGCCAGCTGAAACTCGGTCGGTGCTGCCAGACCCGGACGGAGTGAGAGGCTGGAGAATTGGGTTTTCACAAGGCTTTAATCAGGGTAGAGCAAAATTTAGCGAATGAATCTTAAATGTTCTTGAGCATACATATGTATGAGTTTGATGATACTGATCAGTCAAACAACTCTAGCCAGGCACAAGCTCATCAGCTCAATATTGAAACGATTACAAAGTATACAAAAAAGCTACACACATCGAATAAGCTGTGCTGAACTATATTTGGCATCACTCATCAGTAGGCAATCATTGCCTTTTTCACAGGGCATGTAACAGCGGCCCGGGAAACTCTTAAAGAGTTGCCCGAGGCATTAAAAGAAGCTGATCTGGACTCAAAGAAGAGGGAAGTCTGGGAAAAGGATGTGCAAAAGAAAGCTGAATCCGCAGCGAAGATGCAAGATTTCAAGCCAATTAGTGAGTCCTTGCAGTTTTTATAACTGAAAGTAACCGATGATAAACTCAAGACTCCGGCCAGATAAGTCAATGCAAACCCGTTAAATATATTTTTTTGTAATTTATTCTTGCACTCAATTTCGCCGTTAGCCTATGCTTATCACATCACCTCATCATCCCCTCCTTCCGTCATCTAATTTTCTCCGTTTTCACCGCAGTGCTGCAGCAGGAGGAGGAGCTGCCCGCCCTGGAGTCCCGTAGCGACCATTTCCTCAGCGCCAGCTCAGCAGTGGACGTGACCTACAGCCCGGGGGAGGGACGGTTCGCCGTGGCCGCTCGAGATGTCAAACCTGGAGATCTACTGGTGGTGGAAAAAACCGCACGCGTCCGTACTTATGGCGGAGAAAACCGGAACGCACTGCATTCATTGCTTGAAGAGGTGGGTTCAATCGCAATGGCCGCGCGATGGATGGACGCTGCCGATTCGCTACATAGTTCTTGTCTTCGAGAGGAATGCATATAGCTGGTACTTACTTCGCATGTTTATTGCATAGTGTTAAGAAGCTATTGCCGTCGCACGCCGGTAAAGGAAAAGCAGCCTTTGGTGTTTTGGTTTCGGTACCTACTAGTGGTGTCAATCGGAACTTGAATCTTCGGAATTCCGATTTTGTCCAATGTCCAATTCGGAATTCGGTTGGACAATGACAACAGGCTTTGGACAACTTTGGACAATCGCTTGCTACACCTCAACATTTTCATAAAATTATCGTGTTTAACATTGATTGGCTATTAAAAAGCCCAGCTTTCGATATGATTAACACTTTTGAGAGCTGGCAACGATACATTAACAGCAAATTAAATAACGGTGTTGAGTGTAAACTATTGCACAAATGTCGGACATCTTTGGACAAATGGCTGGCTTGGATATTTTTGGACGGACAATCGACGCCAGCATTGGACATTGGACGGACATTGGACACATGTTTTCTGAAATTGACATCACTAGTACCTACCGTTCGACCGTCAATGCGCTCCCCTATTCTTATGACAATTGCTATTATTGGAAGATCGACTATCCACATTCCATTATAGTATCGACTATTTATCCCCAAATAATTGTTCATTGGTCGATCATTGTCCAGCACATCGCCAGGAAATGAAAAGGATTCTGCAGCTTGGCGAAACGGCGGAGTTAAACCCTGCGGCACAGCATAGATGCAGGCGTTGTAGCCAACGCCATCTGTGAACAGGAATTGTAAGCACACAAAAGATGCGTATGCTTGCCTGCTACTAGATGGCGCTAGCTGTTAGCGCATGCATCTATGCTGTGCCGCAGTGTTCAACTGCTCCAGGAACCCTGTTCAGAGGGTGCACTGTGCAGTGTGCATTGTGCATGCATGATCTGAATAAGATGTGGCAGCTCACATTAAACTTATGACCGGTGATTAATTACGTTCAGCTGACTCACTTTTAATATCATCAGTTTCGAACCGTGCTTTCGCTTCACACTACATATATCTACCTACCTACCCCACCCATTCTCCACCTCTCCTTCCTCTGTTCACCCGCAGGGTCCTGGCTGCGTTTCCGTGCCGCGAGTGCAGCGGGGTGATGTTCTGCAGTCCGGCGTGCGCGGCGGCCGCCGAGCCCTATCACCGCTGGGAGTGCTCCATTCAGGACGTGCTGCAGGCCTCCGGCATGTCCCCACTCTGCCACCTGGCGCTGAGAATCATCACCAAACACGGACTCGAGTTTTTCCAGAAGGTATGAACTGTGACCGGGACGCTTCAGTTATGATAATAAGGTGTCTGTTGCGTTGCATGTGCGGTATGTTGTGGTCGACGGTCAGGCATTTCCGATCGTAGCTGTTTATGTTTGTGTCATTATGGCTTGTAAGTTGTAGCAACGGTTTAATGGGTAAATTGCATTTCAAAGTGTGAAAAAGTATGTTTATTGTTTATGACTGGACGAGTCCAACTACACGTGCATCCTTCCCTGAATCCCTATGCATGCGACTTATTCGGGACCTTCTCAGCCGGCCTCTTCAAATGAGCGTTCTACCAGTCTCTGCCAGGTCTGGTAAATCGCATAGGTATAGTGTGAATGATTACCTACCTTACGCGAAAAATAACGCTTTGCAAGAATTTACACTTACCGACCTTACCGACAAAAATTAAATTCACACAAATTTACACTTACCGACCTGCAACGTAATGACACTTACGTTGCATTAATTCACTTACCTCCCCTGTCGTCATGTCTGCACATCTCCGCAGCTACGTCCGGAGCTGGAGCGTGCCCGCGCGCCGGGGGACCGTCCCAGCACGGACAGCGCCGGAAAGCAGTACGACCCGGACAACTACCTGTCCGTCCACCAGCTGGTGACGCTGTCCGAGCTCCGCAAACCGGAGGACTTCTTCCACCGTACACTGATGGCCGTGCTGCTGCTCAAACACCTCCGCGTGGCCGGCTTCTTCGGGGAGGTGACCGAGGATGACCGTGAGTGATGTGCCTGTTTCCTGTGTTTCCTGTGTGTGCCTGTTTCCGATCTGTAAATTGAACGTTTGATGTTTTGGCTGGTGTGTATGTGTAATGTGCATTGGAATAGCATGTAGCATAGACCTCTGTATACTAATTATTTTAGCTAAGTAAATTATTTAGAAATATTTATGATATGCATCAGCGCTGCCGGCTGCGGGTTTTTTCCTCCAGAATAAGTCATAAAATACAACGGTCATGGTTTCCATTATTTCATCATCACTTCCATCCTTATACCGTGACCTGCAGTCGGGTCCAGCCGCTCTAACCTCACGTAACCCTCGGCGCAGCGGCGGACCGTGCGCTGAGCTCCGACGAGCTGCTGGTGGGCTCTCTGCTGCTGCACCACCTCCAACTTCTGCAGTTTAACGCGCACGAGGTCGGCGAATACGTCATGATGGAGCCCGGCCAATTCAAACAGAGCCGCAGCGTCTACATCGGCGTGGCCGTCTACCCGACCGTGTCGTTCTTCAACCACAGCTGCGAGGGAGGCGTCTCCAGGTTGGTGGTCTGGCTTTTAACTGCTCTGCGGCTTTCGGGATTTTTGGGTGTATGGAACAAGCTATTTCCATTTAATTATGTCTGAGCAACTAGCCAGGCGCTTTCTGAAAATGAGACCTAGCTCGCGAAAGTTGAATTTTGAGACAGAAGCTCTACAATCATCACCGTGTTCCGCGTCTTTATCTCTCACGCTCACGCATTACCTGATCACAGGTGTTTTGTCGGCGATACGCTGGTTGTGCACTCGGTTATGCCAGTGGCTGCTGGCCAGCCCATCTTTGAGAACTACGGGCCCATCTACTCTCACAAGGCAAAGCCGGACCGACAGCACTGGCTCAGGTGGGAGTTGAAAGCGTTTTTACTTTTATTCGCCTACTTTATATTGCTGTAAACGACCTTCTGACATAGAGCGAAAACCGATTGAATGAATACGGCATTTGAATGCAACTCAAATAAAAACTGATCTTTTTTAAAATAAAAATCATTATTACTTTGAATCTCCAGATCTCCAAATGGTAACTTTAACTTGTCATCATTAAACCTGTGGAAGCTATCTCAGTTCCTTGACAGAGGTGGACGGTCGTAAACTAATCGTAGCTGCGTATTTCGTCCGGTGTTTTCAGCTCCCGATACTGGTTCGACTGTCGCTGCGTGGCCTGTGAAGAGAACTGGCCCGACTACGACCAGTACGACATCAACACGGTCCTGCTGAGGTGCACTGGCTGCGGTGCCGGCATCGAAAACGACGCCTCAGGTACGAGAACGGGAGTGGAAAATAAGAGGTAAAAGAATATTAAAAAATGATGGTTCAAAGTTTACTTTTGGCCATTAGGATGACTGTATTAACTGCATTAATAAGTATCTCCTAGAATATTTGATACCTGTTTATTTTTTTGTGTCTGTAATTTCATGCGCCCGTCTCTAATTGCACGTCGCATATACAATAAGTGCTTACTCAACCACTGCCTAGTTGACGGTCTGTATTTTTCCGCTGCTTAGGCAAAGATCCGGTTGGCGACTGCCCAAAGTGTGGTAAGAAGAACAACGCAGTGGAGCTGTTCCGGCAGATGCGCGGTGCCCAGGAGAACTATCACTCGGCCATGAACATGATGCACGAAGGTAGGAAGCATGAACTGCCGTCTGTCTCTGTTTGTCTTGCCATCTGAATGATAGGAATCGGCTCTCACGTACGGACGGCCCGAGGGCAGAGCACATAATTCTGAGACGGTGCCATGGCGCGATATGTGCTTCGGGAATCGGGATATGAGTAACGTGGGAAAATTAACGCCTGGCTGGGCATTTCATAGGACATCAAAGAACCGTTATTAGATGGCGGATTTCTAGCTGTGAGGTGTCAGAAGAGTGTGTATTAATTCGTACCTATGTGTTAGGTAGGTACAGCCCACCGATAAAGTAATGTAGGGTTTTACCAATCTCAACGATTGGCTTTGACTTGCGATTGTTTAATGCGGAGTGATCGAAAAGAAGATGTCAATAGCTAAAATTGCAGCTGCAAGGGTGACGATACATATAAGCTACATTCAAAGTTTCGTTGTAGTCTGGCTAATCGTTCCTAAGCTTCAGAAGCAGAACATACCCATGAGCATGACTGAAACCCCACATTACTTCTGCTGTGGACTGTACGTACAGTAGAATCCGCCTAATGAATCCAACTTGGTGACACGGTGATTTATTAAGCCGTGGCTTTAGTAACCGCGGGGGTCAGTTATGTTTCTATTCCGTGAACACCTCAAGTGGCCACAATAAGCGGCTGGATTTATTTTCCGAGGCAGTAGCGGCGGAACACCTTCAATTAAGGGAGGCAGTGCCGACTTTTGGTCCCATTCTTTCCATGCAACGCCCATAGGGCTAATGTTAAAATGGCAAAATCAAGGGGGGCACGGTGCTTCGGTGCCCCCCCCCCCCCCCCGTTCCGCCGCCTATGATCCGAGGATTTATAAAGGGGATTCTACTGTATTGGTAAATTACGGTGCATGTGGAGGAAAATGTAATGGGTGTTGGCTGGAGCATGGCAATAAGATCGATAAAGTTAAAAGAAATAATAAACAATTACAAATCGCTGCCTCCGACCGTCTGTTTATGATGTAGCTGGGACGAAGTTCAAATAATTATTTGTATGTAATAAAATAAGTAAATCGCATCATCGGTACAAAAGCAAATAACACTCGTACGGCGTATAGTAGACGATACCGCATTGGCGGACGCGGGACGTTATTCTAACTGCTACCCTCGCCCCCCTCCTCGCAGGCGAGCCGAAGAAGGCACTGCGCCTGTTCTACCGGTTCATCGAGCAGTGTCAGGAGCTGGTGGTGCGACCCAACCGCGACCTCAGTCTCTGTCAGGAGGCGGCCAGAATGTGTCTGGCTGCTCAGGGCAGTCTGCACTGCATCCGCCAGAAGAAGACCAATGTCGCCTGAGAACACCTTCGATCGGTGCACCGTATGATTGCATTCACTGAGCAGCTAGCAAGGCCGGGCAGTGGTGTGTCCAAAGTGTGAAATAAGTTTTTATGATAGATTTGTGGTGGCGTTTGACATGTGTGTTTCCCTTAGTGCTCTGAATGATCTTGGACTTTGGTGCCACTTTAATCAGTCATGAGGTGAATTGACGGTTCGAGTGTTTCGTAAGAACATCCCACAACCAAAATAAGTGTTTTGAAGTAAGAGTGAGTGAATTTCGGCAGTCTGGGCGACTGGCTCAATTGGCCATTGCTATAGCAATTCAAAATCGACAGAAAATGTTCACATTAACCCGCGCCCTGCTGGGGGGGGGGGGGTTTGAACACCCCCCCTTGTGGTTTTTCGCGAATATCTCAAAAACGGCGGCGCGGAGCGCCGCCATTTTTGGTACACCTTATCATACATCAATTCTACACATGTGAAAATTTCAAACCAAGGTCATTCAAGGTCAGGTCACCAGGTCACTTGAAGTGACCTCACCTCATAAAACGTTTCAATGTCTGTCATAGCTACACCGAGTGACCGATCGCTTTGAAACTTTCAGCGATTGCTAAGAGCAATAGCATGTACAAAATGTATATCTCAGAATTTTGATATCGATGACCTAAGGTCAGGTCAATTTTGCGACCTCCCCATTATAAGTCAATGGGAGAAAATTGAAATGCGCTTCTTTTGGACGAAAGACATTATAAACGCTCCCAAACACTGAATTACAAGTGGTTTAGACACACTGAACATGAAAATGGTGTCCGTGACCCCTGTTTATGCCCTGAGGTCATCTTAGGTCACGAATGGTATCTAACAGTTTTTCGCAAATAACTTTTGATAGAGGCATGCTAGAGCGATGAAAACGCCTTAGATGTGTTCAGCTCGACGATACGGATCGACTGATATGCAACATGACCCTTTCCGGTCAGGTCATGACCTTGACCTGAGGTCAAATTTTTAAGTTGACCTTTCAAGGTCAAGTTATAGTTCATTCGATGCGTCTTGACGAGAGGAACACGATGCCGATAAAAGTAAGCTCGTACAAGGCTTGGGTCAAAAGTTATTGCAGAAAAACTGTTTCCGAAAAAATCGGCTATTTTTGCAGTTTTTGCCCCCTGCAGGCAAAACCGTTGACGTTAGGTCAAATCTGAGAAAATTACTCAGAAAGGGCGCTAATAGGGCTATCGAATGCGCTTTTCCGCGGCGCTGTAGCTCTATTGGTTCCCGAGTTATGCATTGGCTTCTTGGAAATTGTCGACATTCGACCTGGAAATCGGCGAAATTTTGCCTTCAATGACCTCTGGTGACCTGACCTTTGACCTGACCAAAAAATTGACCGAAGTGATTTCCTCATTATTTTTGACGCTCTTTCGAACGCCGCCTTCCGCGTATCGCTACGTGGCCCAGGAGCCGAGTTAGAAGGGGGGGTGTTCAAACACCCCCCCCCCCCCCCAGCAGGGCGTGGAAATCCAGGACCCCCAGCCGGGCGCAGGTTAAAGGGACCCTCCCACCTTAACATTAGTTTTGAGTTGAGATAGCCAAGTTTGCGGCCAGGCTCAGAAACCACCATTTATCCTGGTCGCAACCCCCGCAGCTTTATGGTGTTCAAGAAATTTCTTCCCTTTACTTGCAGGGTGGGACCAGCGTGGTCCCTATCTCTTAACCATTACGGGAATCTGATGACGTCATCAGGCTTTCGAACGTCCGTTGAATGTTTGACTAAAACGTTTTGTAGCACGCGGTGGTATATGCTGCTTTGCGCGCAACAAATGTCGCACTTTCAAATAAAGTCGCTAGGAACAGCGGAGATCCCAAAAAGTAAACAAAAGTAAAAGTCTAATATCTTGAAAATCGGTGAATATTTTTCGATGAAATTTGGTAGATATTCGTTTTTGCTCTTTCTGAACCGAGCGACATCACTTTCATGCCAATTCATTAACTTTTTTGAAGGTGGGAGGGTCCCTTTAAGGTTTATTTCGTACGTAAATATTTACACCTTTTGGTTTTACCATTGCAACGATCACTTAAAGGTGTCGTACTACGCTGTGGGTAGCGCTTGGCTGGACGGACGGTCTGTGACAACCTATTGATCTGTGGCTGATCTATTAGAGTGTCCGTCCGAGAGCCGTACGACGGCTGACAGAGCCTGGGGGTCGCGAACTGGTGTGGTAACCGTTACGCCCACCTGGGACGCCCGAGTCGGTACGGCACTTGCGGTGTCGTAACCGGATCGGCGGGAACCAGCAGAACGCTGTTGGACCGGCGGTGAAAGTCGGAACCGAGCACTCGCCCACCAGTGGGGCGTCTGGTCGAGCAGGTCTACCCGCTAAGGCAGCCTGAGCACGAACCAGTGGCAGGGTCCGATCAATGACCGTGGTCCGACCAGGGTGTCAGCGCAATGGCCAGTCAGAGGCGTCTTTAAGGGCGCGGAAGCCCACCTCGGTCGACTGTGGCCGGTGCAACCTAGTCAGGTCGTTTGTGTGAATCTCCGTGTTCTTCCCTCGCCTCAGAGTAGCCGCTCTTCTCCAAATGCCCGAGCCGTTTTCTATGTGTATTGGTCTTGCAGCGAACAGCAGAGTCGAAAAACGAATTGACAATGTCGCCGAAAACCGCGGTCACATGCTGGCCGTTCCTAGTACTACCAATATGCCCGCAGGCGCGGCGAGAGACAAGCTTAACGTATGAGTCACCGTCCGGCTGCCGGGAGAGCCCCTACCGCGACCTTTGCTCACAGTCATGACGTCACGACAATGGGCTCCTAAACGTACGGGCAGCGGCCGCCTCAGGGGTGCCGCCGTGACCTTTGCACGACACGTTCTATAGCGTATGGCACAGCGGTTACTAGAAAGGTTGAGGCCAGCGGCAGGCCATCGATCTCGACTTCCTGCGCAAACCTTGGATTCTTCGATATTCACGCACCAGTTCGACGCTTCACGTCAGTTAGCGCACGGTGTCCTCACTGAGCTCCAGGGTCGTCCATGGACGACCTTGGTCGCTAACTTTGAGTAAGCCTTCAGCTCTTTTTGCTCTATGTGACTGTAGGTAGGTCATCTAGGATAACTGCTCAGTCCGGGGGAAACCTAGCGGTGATAACGAACCGGACTATTTATCTTTGCCTGTAACAGACCCCGATCATGGCCATGGACTCGACCGGACCGCCTCCAGGGGCGCGTCTCCCACCCGACCTTGACCCACCAGAAGGCCGCGCTCTCATCCTGATCAGCCGGCCTGATGGCACTCCACTGCGAGGGAACCCGTTCGCCATCATCAGGGAAATCCGCTCGATCTGTGACTCGGAAGTCGAAAAAACCAAACAACTCGGATCTGGCAAAATTCTCATCTCGACCTTCAACAAAGACCAAAGCTCTGCCCTTCTCTCCTGCCAAACCATGCTCGGAAAACCTGTTTCGGCTGTTCTTGCAACCAACCTGATGTCATCGCAGGGTCTCATTCACTGTCCGGACCTCAGCGACCTCTCTGACGAAGAGCTCCTCACCGAACTAGCCCCGCAGGGTGTTATCGAGGTGCAGAGGCTCAAATCCAAGGACCGAACTCCAAACCCCCTGATTCGACTTCGCTTTAAAGGACTCGATCTCCCAAGAAAGCTCCTCTGCGGGTACCTCGCCGTCCCTGTTCGACCCTGGATCCAGCTGCCAAGGCAATGCCGTAGGTGCTGGAAGCTAGGCCACTCCATGCGCTCTTGCCGACGAAAAGAGACAGTCTGCGGGCAGTGCTCTGCCAGGGACAGCCACCCCACAGGTGACTGTACCTCGGTCCCAAAGTGCCCTCTCTGCTCTGGTCCACACCCAGCATGGGACCGAAACAGCTGCCCCGTCTGGAAAACCACCAAACGAGACACTCGAGAGCGAGCGCCATTCCAACCCCCGCCGCTCAACTCCACAGCTTGGCCTCCACTTGAGAGTCAGCACCGAACGATGCAGCCCCCTCCGGCTCGCACAGACGCCTCTGTCCAGACAGATGGTGAGGTCATGGCCCCTAAGGCGACCGCAGTCCCTGTTCAGACCCAGACCGAGACAGCCAGCTCTCAGACGACCGACGCCAGCACCCAAACGACCAAACTGACCACCTTCGACTCGACCTCTCAAACTCGACCCGCCCGACTGGTCTCTGCCGAAGTCCAGACTGACACCCCCGACTCACCGACACCAACCACGGACCCCGACGACTTCGGCTGCTCTCGAAGCAGGCCGTTCACCCGAGGCTACACGGCGAGCTTCCAGCCTGACAGCCCCCGAAACGACACCGACGATCCCGATCCAGACCTGATCCCGAAGAGACGTCCCAGGGGTGAGATCCCTCCACCTGACATCGGGTCGCTGAAGTTTGAGTACGCCAGCGGCAGGCGACTTTCCTACCCTCCCTCCACCCTCTACTGGTTTGACCATGAAATCCGACTATACGACCTTGACCTTCGCCCAGAATCCAAAGCGTACAGGGCAGCCGTGGCTGGCTTCTATTTTGACGGACCCCCTCACCACGGACGCCGTATCTTCCTTCAGAGAATTCCTCCAACGGGTAACCACTAGCCCTACCAACATCGCTGCCTAGGAGTCGAGCTATGCCTCACGGCTACTCCTCCAGAGCCACCAAATTCCAGTCAAAGTTGTACCCCTGAGACGGGCGGGACATGACTGGGGCACCCGGGTCACACCGGCTGCCATAACCCGCTGGCTGTCTCACTCGGTAGGCCGGTTTTTATTTTGGCCGATCCCTGCGAACAGCCTGCGCAATCACACTTTCACTGTCCACATTAGAGATATAACGTAACGTAACTATTGCGGGGATTTTTACTGTACTCGACAGTTTTTGCCCCTTGACTTAGGCACCAGGTTTTTTCTAGTTAGGACTTTTCCTGGTAAATACATCCCACAACAAACATCACACATTGCAACACCTCACACCATCAGCAGCAAGATTTACAGCAGCAAGTATGAATATTCTACCCCTTTCTGGACACCCTTGCCTTGTTAATCGGACGCCACATGAGCCGAATTAAAGTAAAGTTTGCTTCTCTCTCTTGCTTGGGTCAGAATTAAATAGCTGACAGTAAAGTAAAGTAAAACGAAAGATCTGGCTCATTGCCAGCCTTAGTAATTTCCCCTTCCCTGGCGGTTGCCTTAGGCATGCCGGGAAGACAAAATTAAAAAAAAAAAAAAAAGCGGCAGGCCGGTTTACAAATGGCAAACAAACTTGACGCGCAATTGACAACAGGTAACAGATTGATTAATAAAGCGGTGACAATATAAATGAAAATGACAATATGAAATGACAAATCG